TTTGGTTTTACGCTGCTTTTAGCAATATCCCAGCAACATCACGGTGGGGGACACCAGAAATGGGCTTCACACATTGTACCCATGTGGGGATTCGAACCCGGGTCTTCGGCGTGACGAGCCAACGCTTTAAACCACCGCCCCTTCAATCTAAGAGGCAATAACAACCAGTTTTTCACATAATTTTGCGTAAAGTGCTGTTTCAAGCGACTGTTTATGCACTATTCACTACAACAGACTGGTAAACAAACTGAAAAGGCTACTTAATGTACTTACATTTACCCTTTGTTTTACTTTCCATTTTTCATGCATATTTGAAAAGAAGCTAGTCAAAATTATTTGGTATAGTTATTTATTTTGTGTATTTTACACAATGTACAGCTTATTTGGATTTTTTAAATGTAAAAAAAAAAAATCTACAATAAAATAGACGTAATTAACATATCTCGTATGAATTTTATTACAAGTTCAGTGAAGGTACCAACATCATTAGCTAATCACGAAATTGAGAATCGTGTTGTGAATTTTAACAACTGTTTTATCCATTTGTTTCCTCACCGCCAGGGCTGGACCTAAAATCTCCAACCCCAAGTATTAATCAGTGGGCCCTGTTTTATTTGAGACTAAACTGGCCGTAATAAATGCCAGTGTTGGGCACGAGATGCACGTGTAATTACTGCCCTCACGTCCACGAATAATCACTCATGAGTCTGTGTGAGTCACCTCCCTTTCCTTTCATTCAAGTCCTGCGTGAGCTATTCATTTGACGCTTTTATCATCTCCAATGCATCCATTTCAGACGATGCAACAAATTAGAGAAATATGTTGCTTGCGTCCGATCTCTTTTACGACTATTTGGCCAAGTTTTTTTAGGAAATCGTGATGATAAATCACTGTATGAAACATTTTGTTTTGTGCGTTGGGACACCCCACTTGATATTTTGTTAATCGTAATTCTACTGGGGTTATTGTCAGTAAATAAGGAGGGGGTGGATGGTTATAAAAGAGACGTCTGCTGATTAGGGAACTGTTTTAATGATTTAATGCAATGCAGAAGAATATTTGATCTGTTTTCTGATAATTAGAATAAAGGAACAACATGTACTGTTTAATATTGAACAAATTTTATGGATAACAACTTCTTTTGTAATAGTGAGTGAGTGAATATGGTTTTATGCCATTTTTAGCAATATTCCAGCAATATCATGGTGGGGGGCACCAGAAATTTGCTTCACATTTTGTGCCCATGTGGACTTCTTTTTATAAGTGTAAGTGATGGTATCCATGTTAAACTTCAATATGGTATTGCAGCGTGGTAGCACTGTAAAACCTTAGCACCGTGTCCCTTCGTTGGGCCTATAGTCTGTTTGACTTCATTTTAGACCGATGAATTGCTCACTAACACAAAATCTAATAATTGTGTCAACGCGTGGATACGCGTCGACTGGGGAATTAGCTCATGTTTAAGATGAAGTGTACGTACAATACATTGACAAGACGAAGGAATACGTTGAGCTCAAACTTCTTTAGTTACATGACAAACAAATACACAAGGCATAAAAGAGGTGAGCGGAGTACCTGCTCAACCCCTGGGCGTTTCCTACGAGCAGCATTATCCTGCTCGTGGACGTCCCTACACAGAGAGTCGGAATACCAGACTCGTTCTCCTTTTTTTCTGTACATGTAGATGTGAGCATATATATATATACAGTTTTTGACAACAATGGACAGGTGATGACTCAACAATGGACAGATAGAGAAACAATAGCACTTCCTTGATCAGTTGATGTGATGGCAGACACGGCCAAGGGGGGATGACCAATTGAGGTTATAAATGTCTTATACAATAATTAATGGGCTGACAAGTCAATGTTCAATGCGGTAGTGATAAGAATGTACAGTAGTGATTAAGAATACAGGTTAGCGTCATATATATATTACAATAAAGTCTCACATGTCTTGAGTACATAGTTTTTACTTTTTAAATATTTGGACGATGGCTGTCCTGAATTAGTCCCTATAACAATTGCAACAAAACCAAATTTTGCACATGAAATCAACAGACCAACTCTGATTTGTCTCATAATTTTGGACACCCAAATAAAAAGGTTGTTTAACAAATGATAATTATTTTGTAGAACAACCAGGTGTGCGAGTTGTAAGTGTGAAATTGAAATTTCACTGCACACGCTTGTTGATTACCTGGCTGTTCTACCAGCAAGTCGTTCCCCCTCGTAAGAAATAGCAAAAAGTGACAACAAACTAATGATCGTTTGTTAAACAACTTTTTTATTCGGGTGTCCAAAATTATGAGACAAATCATCAGAGTTGGTCTGTCGATTTCATGTGACTGTGCAAAGTTTAGTTTTGTTGCAATTATTAGATTTTGTGTTAGTAAGCAATTCATCGGTCTAAAATGAAGTCAAACGGACTATAGTACAAGCAGACACACATCAAACTACTAATTAACTGTGCTAAAAGTATAAGAAATACTTAAATTGGTAAAAAATATTGTGCTTAATAAATGTGTCTAGTAAAACTTTACTTAATGCTCACACATGAGCAAGTCTGACACAAGTTGAATTTCAAACAGATATTATAAAAGACTCTTAACCAAAAATGGTCATTGGCTTGCTCACAGATATATTTTTTTGTTCAGATAAAATGTGGCATATCTACTCATATCAATCCTACTTTCATATATTTATTTCAGAAAATTGAAAGTTTAAGAAGCAAGCCTAGTATTTAGAACATCTCTGATCATTTTCAAACAATTACTTCAAAGTTTTCGACAACTTTAAGATTTGACACTTGATGCAGAACAAAATGTCAGTTTTCCTGTCTCCTGCTTTCTTCGGTTATCATTATTTCTTTATCAGTTGATGAGGTCACAACAATTTGCATGACAATTTATGTCACTCTGAGACTTATCAGCTTGATAGGGGATGAATAACCCATGTAACACGCCCAATCAATCCAGCGCCAATTTATTACATGACCTGGTCTCGCTTGCTCCAATTATTGTAACACAACAGATACAATGATAGATATGAAGCTAACATAAAACTGACAGTCTACATTCTCACTGGGAAAAGGAGAGTAGATTGATTCCTAGGGACACATTGCCACATTTATTTGTCTGTAGGGAACTGCCGAAGAGATATAGAAAATCTATGGAACATCCCAAAGAAGCGCCGATGGTCAGGGAGAACTGCAGACATTGTTTTAGAGCTGATCATGTACAGCGATCTATTGGCATTACGTTGTTTGTTGATCCTGTTTAAGACTTTGTGTCTAGGGCTGGCTGTTTGCATAGGATTGAAAAGTACTCCCAGTAGTTGCTTGAGTCCATTGATGAAGACTTCTCACTCTGACAATTAAGGCATGGCACTGATAGGACCATTTATTTGTGGAGGTGATAAATCAACCGTATTTGCCACGGTCTGGAGCTTCTACACGGATCTTGGTGATAAGATTAAATACTGAGCAGTTATTGTTCTCAAGCTGATTCGTGTGTCACTGACCTTGAATAGTCTTGTGTTTGCCTTACCCTGGAAACTGTTTCATACTCTACATGTATTGTAGACACCTTGAGTGAATGAGTGAGTTGGGCTTAATGCCGCTTTGAAAAAGAGTGATTTAGTTAAAATGCAGCTTTGAACGGGAATCTAGTGATATCATGACTTGTCCATTGTTATATCATGGAGTGTCAACAGTTATATCATGCTATGTCTACTGTTATATCATGGTGTGTCAACAGTTATATCATGACATGTCTACAGTTAAATCATGGTGTGTCAACAGTTATATCATGACATGTCCACTGTTATATTATGGAGTGTCAACATTTATATCATGACATGTCTACAGTTATCATGGTGTGTCAACAGATATATCATGGAGCATCAACAGTTATATCATGACATGTCCGCTGTTATATCATGGTGTGTCACATGTCCTCTGTTATATAATGGTGTGTCACGTGTCCACTGTTATATCATGGCATGTCCACTGTTATATCATGGTGTGTCACATGTCCTCTGTTATATCATGGTGTGTCACGTGTCCACTGTTATATCATGGCATGTCCACTGTTATATCATGGTGTGTCACATGTCCTCTGTTATATCATGGTGTGTCACGTGTCCACTGTTATATCATGGCATGTCCACTGTTATATTGCAGTGTGTCACATGTCCATTGTTATATCATGGTGTGTCACATGTCCTCTGTTATATCATGGTGTGTCACGTGTCCACTGTTATATCATGGCATGTCCACTGTTATATCTTGGCATGTCCACTGTTATATTGCAGTGTGTCACATGTCCATTGTTATATCATGGTGTGTCACATGTCCTCTGTTATATAATGGTGTGTCACGTGTCCACTGTTATATCATGGCATGTCCACTGTTATATCTTGGCATGTCCACAATTATATCATGACAATCTGTTTATACATAGTCATAGTTATATCTGTGGATTAAGGGGAGGGAATATTTATTTATTCCTTTATTCATCCTCAATGCATAAATGTAAAATTAAACCACTTCTTCTTTGTTGGTCCAATTTCCAGTTGGCATTGACCCAGCCAACACAGCAATAAATATTAACATGGAATGACAAATGGATTAATGAACACTTTTTGCCAGTGACTTAGGGCCTACAAACTCTAAGCAGATCTACTAAATAAAACCAAGGCAGTGTCCTTTTTTTCTTTTAATGTATCACATGATTTGTTCACACTATTATTTGAGTATAGCATTTGACCCTCCCTACTCTGTCAGTGTGGCCTGCAGGAAAAAGTATTTAAATATAAAAATGGTTGCCAGAGAAATAGAATAAATTTGTTTTTGTGTGGAAGTCAGTCAAAGTCACTAGACAAATGACATCAGTCGAAATGTTGAATCCAGAGGGCACACAAAGCGTCTGCCATATTCATGTCTGTCGAGACGTTGATAAAAAACTCTTCATTTGTGTTTCCTGCCTCCATTTGTTTCAGGTCGTACATCTCATTCGACATCCTGCGGCGGGTGATGACTCACTACTTCAACTACGATGTCTTCTATGCCATGAACATCACTGACATTGACGACAAGGTACAGAACTTCAACAAATACTACTTTTTTAGGAACATGTCATGAAACTCTCGGATATCAGAGGAAAAATGTTTAATATATACTGTCTGACAGATTCAAAGATGCCATATTCTCAAACATGTTTTCTTTTTATCAGAAGTTTATTGAAACTTTATTAATTAGTTTTCGTACATGAATTTTTGTATTCTCCTGGAGCTTTTTTGTGTTTGAAATCAGAATTCTTGCTAACATCAGTGAAATATTATATATCGGCCATACTGTCCTAATTGTTGTTCTCCATCATGATCAACAACTGCGGAGAGTGGAGGAATTTCGTGAAATGTGTATCTGGAAGAAAACTAGATTTCTATGCAACAATTTGTGCCTAATTCAGCCAAGCCATGGCCCCAATTAACCATGGGGTCTCTCACGTGATGGTCCTATCTGGCGTCGGACCAAGCATCACCACAAACCATTTCTTCTTCCTTACTTGTGGCACCATTCTTTTTCTAGCCAATCAGAAATTAATCTCTATTATTCATTGTAGGGATTGAATTAATCCCAATAACGGGGAATGTTTTCTGCGATCACTCGAGCCAATCTTCAAGCAAGAAGACGACTGATGTTAATGAGACGATAATGCTACCAGCTTTTCAGCCGAAAAAGAAAAAATTGAAAATCTCCCGAGAGTGCTTTAGTTTTGTAGACTAATAACATCGTGGCTTGTTTGCTGAGATTTGTTAGATAGTCTGAAAAAGGTTTAATCTAAATGCCCAACTTGTTTTATATTCAGTTTAGGAAGTGTTTGATAGCTGCTTGGCCATCCAGTCCACAGTTCCCATGAATAATTATAGTTGCAAATACAGCTACTTCGCAGAAAGTCATTATGGAAGAAAAAGGGTCCGCAGTTAATAGAGGACAATCACTGATTGGTCATAATTGTGTAAATATTTGTGATATGACCTTCACCTTTATGCGTGCTCTCAATCAATTTTATCGTGGTAAGATCTCTAATCATGTGGTCAGGTGATAATTGTCGGTCTCAACGAGCTGATAAGTTGGCTCTATGTAAATCGGCAAACTCGTGATCTTTTATAAGAGTGCATTTCAAGCCAGTTGATTGAAATATAATGAATATGGATACAGATAGATTAAGAATTAATGTGTTGCAGAAGAAAAGCAGCAGACATTTGCATAAATTGTCTGCAATTAACATTCCTAGTCTTTCCCATTTACAGGCAGGAATTTCAAATCGACTTTTTTTTTCACTTAGCTATGATTGAAAAAATCAAAATGACAGCTGAAGTTAACGTGTGAAAATCTTTATTTTCTCATTAATTTTACATATTTCTTCCTCCAATGTGATTTTTTTATTTATTTGTCAGTTACATGATAGATGTCTTCACGAGGGAAATTAGTTTAATGTTTATAATTTGATTTTGAAATATGAATTTGCATGCATGTGATAACTTCTACATTGAGAAGAGATGGAGGTCTATGTTTTTAGAGTTCTTCCAGTGGACATTAACCATCACATGTATTTTTTTAGTGAGAGTTGTTTAATTTACCTTCGATAATTGTTCATTTTCTTCCTCGGCAACTACTAAAAGCCCCATCACATCTTTGAAAAGAACATAAGTTATGACTGTGTGTTTTGTCAGTTGGATTCGGTAATGCTTTGCATCTTGGGAACTGCTCCAATCACATCGTCATTATGTTACAAATTGCTAAATGACAGCTTGTTGAAGCTTTGTGAAATTTCCCATATTTTAACTGACTTTATAGAACGTGTGACCTGTAGGTTAAATACTGACAGTGCTGTCCGTTCTGTACAGAATTACAAACATGGGCTCTGTCCCACAGCAGTTTGTAGCACTGCAGCTATTGCCAGCGCTGAAATGTAGGGGTTAAGATCGTCTTTGCGTTAAAGTCTCTGTGTGAATTTGGGCCCTGTACTCTGAGAAAAAGCCATCACATTTATCAAACCCGTAGAAAACTTATACTGTTTTCAAGTTTCAATAGTAGCAGTATTTACAGATTTGAAAATTTATATTACTTGCAGCAAAGATGTGAATTAATTATCAGAAAGATATTCCAGATATATATGACAAAACATATGTTCAAATTTTCTCATGTGCCATTTGCGAAAGCAGTATCAATTATCAGTACTTCACACATTATTTAGATGTTCGGAAAATTTGAATTCCTTTTTCGAAGATGCTAATTAATTTTTTCAACTTATGTACATGTATTAATAAAAAAAACATCAATTTTTCTGCTCTGTTAAACATATAAATACAATATGATATTTTTTGCCTCTTCAATGCACCTGTTTAATGGTATGGTTGGCCCGTAAATGTAACACTGAATATGACACTGTAAAGGATGCTATCAACCTACAGTGCTATGGGTATACATGTTTGCGTCCAACAACTTTAATATTAAAGGTCACATTAACCCATATATATTTCATAAATGGTTTAAGAGGTTGATTTACGATGAAAAGGGTAAAAGATATTATTTCATCGACTCGTTTAAAACTTGGAGTCATAAGATGCCCTGGATTCACTTTCCATATCTCTTCAGCACCAAACTTTTGATTGATGGGATGCACTGTGACCTATATTTACTTTGCGCATAGTTGCCTCCCTTGCATGTGCCAGAAACCTATGATGCAAAGGGCACACAGATGACCCATATTTACTTTGCAGAGTTGCCTCCCTTGCATGTATCAGAAACATAAGATGTATTCAGGCATCAATGACCCTGATATACTTTACAGAATTGTCTCTCTTGCATGTACCAGAAACCTATGATCCATAGGGCCCACAGGGAACCTTTGCTTTGCAGAGTTACTTCCCTTGCACATGCAAGAAATCATCCTCGATCAATGGGGGATGATCCAGGTATGCTTCAGAGAATTGCTTCCTTTCATGCCAGGAACCTACGATCATGGATAATTCTGGATTTTCTTTGTTTGCCAGCACCATGCCTCTGCTGGTGGTTTTCACCAAAGTGTTTGACATCTAAGACTGCAAATACTTCGTATTGAAATACTGAGGTTGCTTTGAATCCAACTCACTGGCTGTTTCAGATCATTGTCCGTGCCCGCCAGAACTACCTTTATGACCAGTATGTGGGCCAAGGCCACAGTCCCGAGAAGATACTTGCTGATATCAAAGAAGCAATGGGTGTAAGTTCTTGTTTACAATATTGATACATCTCCATTTTTGTAACTTAACACTACATGCTTCACATGTCTATAAATGGATGAAAATATAAAATTTAACATTTTCTTGACACCAAGTGCATCTAAAATGGAGTCTTCTTTTTTGGGTCCCTTTGATGAATTTTCTTCCTTGCAGCCATTTGAAGCCAAAGTATCCTCGGAAACTGACCCCGACAAAAAGGTCATGCTGGAGAAAATGAAGGTGAAGGTCACAGAAGCAGTAGGCTCCATGGAAACCTCTATGAACAATGGAGGGAGCTTGGATGTTGCGAGAGAGGTATGGCTTGATCATGATCGTATCGACCCATGAAGATCCGGGGTAGAATAGGTCTTCAGCAACCCATTCTTGCTACAAAAGGCGACTATGCTTGTGGTAAGAGGCGACTAATGGGATTGGGTGGTCAGGCTCGCTGACTTGGTTGACACATGTCATCGGTTCCCAATTGCGCAGATCGATGCTCATGCTGTTGATCACTGGATTGTCTGGTCCAGACTCGATTATTTACAGACCGCTGCCATATAGCTGTATATATTGCTGAGTCGCGGTAAAAACTAAACTCACTCACTCACTCACTCACTCATCATCAAATCAGAGGTACAGCAAGGACACTTTAGACGTTAACAGTTGTTCACTTGTTGGGGGCAGGTGGGGTAGCCAAGTGGTTAAAGCGTTTGTTTGTCAAGCAGAAGACCTGGGTTCGATTCCCCACAATGTGTGAAGCCCATTTCTGGTGTCCTTGTCATGACATTGCTGGAATATTGCTGAAAGCAGCATAAAACTTAACTCACTCACTCACTCACTTCACTTGTGTTTGTAACTTCGGTGGGGTTGTGTGTAAGGCTGTTACGATTCACTCGCATATTATATCGACGAATATTTGCGATTTTTTAAGGGAGCGTGTTTTACTTGAACCCTTATGCCCTTTTGAAAAGTGAGTTTTTGAAAGTGAGACATGCAAGAATGGAATATGTACTAGCCTTGCAGTAGCACAAGTCATGTTAGTTTGCCAAGGCCGCACATGGTACTGTCGACTATAACTATTACATACCAAATTTGAGTGTCATGAGATCACTGGTTATGGCTGTGACAAATTAAAACTGTCAACATGGGCATTCCATATTGTACATCAATCACTTAACCACAATATTGTATTCGTGAATAATTATTCGTTACCCAATATTCGTGATACATATCATATTCGCCACATAATGAATTCGTTGCAGCCCTAGTTGTGTGTTCATTTTATAACATCAGTTATAACATCACTTTGAATCAACTTGAGAGAGTTTTCTCCGTATTTTTTTTACAATGTCAGGCCTCATGGAAGAACCTGACAAAGATGATATCTGCACGAGTAGGGCAAACATAACAATGATAAACATGTTTTTGGACAAGAAAAGAAAGACACTCCTTTATAAACATGTATGTCCTAATAATCTTCATAACCTTACTCTCCATACCATGTAGGGGCGGTGGGGTAGCCTAGTAGTTAAAGCGTTGGCTCGTCACACTGAATAACCGGGTTCAATTCCCCACATGGGTACAATGTGTGAAGCCCATTTCTGGTGTCCCCCGCCATGATATTGCTGGAATATTGCTAAAAGCGGCGTAAAACTAAACTCACTCACTCACTCCATACCATGTTGTCACTGTTGGAGACTAGCAAGACATTGTATTTCACCATGGAGACGAGATGTTGGTACAGGGGAATACTGAACATCTAGGATTGGCTGCCATATTTTTTGTGGTATTGGTCATATGAACATGAAGAAATCCTGTCATTACTGTGTCAACAATACACAATACATCAGCAATAATAACTACTGACTGACTGACTGAGTTAGGTTTTACACCGCTTTTAGCAATATTCCAGCAACATCACGGCGGGGGACACCTGAAATGGGCTTCACATATTGTACCCATGTGGGGATTCGAACCCGGGTCTTCGGCGTGACGAGCGAACCTTTAACCACTAGGCTACCCCACCGCCCCAAATAATAACTAACTTGATAGACTGCTTGTTTAACACTACAAGGATGTAGACAGGATATACAAGGACACTGATCAGCACAATAACGCGTCACGAGCCGAACCTATTCTATTATCAGCCAATCAGAAAACAGCCGTCTGCTAGTAGCCTTTGTCTGTGTTCTTTTTCAGTTTATGGAAATCTTGTATATCAAATACAACGGAATCATTTGCAATTTTTGAAATTTTCCGATGAATACGGTACATGGTATCTAAATGTATAATAAATCATGATGTTGTTTCTGCTTTGTGAACACAAGTAGGAAACATTGATTAATGGCTGCTCCTTTGCCCTTTCTGCTGGCTACAGTGTTCTGGATCGGTAGTTAAATTACTCCCTGTATCATACATCATGCTGTATGTTTCAGTCTACAGTAAACTACTGTTGTGCAATAAGTAACAATACCTTCTCAGTTTACTCTGGGACCGCCTCCGTGGTGTAATGGTTAGAGCGTCCGCCCGGAGAGCGGAAGGTCGCTGGTTCGATCCCCGACCGCGTCATACCAAAAGACTTTAAAATATGGTACTTGTTGGTCCCTGCCTGGCACTCGGCATTAATGGGTACAACAAGGACTGGTCGGCTCGGAGTCGGCTAATGTGTCTGAGTGGGGTACTCATGCTTCACTGCGGGATGGTATCTCAGTGGGCTAGCACTATAAAACCAGCTTCAGTCCGGGCTAGTACAAGCAGCTGCACATACACATACACAAGCATGCACGTTGTCATATGAGCGAAATATTCTCAAGCACGACGTTAAGCCCAATTTCACCTCACCTCACCTACTCAGTCTCTGCATGGGGGGTAGCCTAGTGGTTAAAGCATTTGCTCATCACGCCGAAGATCCGGGTTCCACACATGGGTGCAATATGTGAAGCCCATTTCGCTATGATATTGCTGTAATTTTGTTTAAAAATGGCATAAAACAAAACTCACTGAGTCTGCATGGGGTCACGATATGGCTGAAACACTGCCATGGGACTCACTCACTCACTCACTCACTCACCCAGGTTCCCCACATGGGTGCAATATGTGAAGCCCATTTCGCCATGATATTTCTGGAATATTGTTAAAAATGGCATAAAACAAAACTCACTCAGTCTGCATGGGGTCACGATATGGCTGAAACACTGCCATGGGACTCACTCACTCACTCACTCACTCACCCAGGTTCCCCACATGGGTGCAATATGTGAAGCCCATTTTGCCATGATATTGCTGGAATATTGTTAAAAATGGCATAAAACAAAACTCACTCAGTCTGCATGGGGTTGCTGAAATGGCGACTATGACTGACTCACTGAAACACTGCCACTCACTGGGACTCACTCACTCACTCACTCACTCACTCACTCACCCACCCAGACAAGGATGGGTATGGGTGAGTGAGTATTATTTTACGATGCTTAACACAATATTCCAGCTATATCACCAGAAATAGGCTTCATACATTACCCACGAGTCCTCAGTATGATGAACAAATGATTTAATCACTGGACTACCCCACCGCCCTGCATGGTTAAGGGTGTCTTGCCGATGTTGTAAGATTTGCTGTCTGAAATCTGCTGTATGCTACAATTCTGTCTTACAGAATCTCCTGAAGAATGCCAAGGACGTGATGGCTGGATGGCTGGACAGGTCAAGTGGCTCAACAGTGTCGGACAACTCCATCTTCTCGGACCTTCCCAGGCACTGGGAGGAGGAATTCCACAATGACATGGATGCCCTCAATGTAAGCTTAGGATCATTTGGTCCAAGAACTAAAAAGTCAGGCTAGGCCTATTAATATTGGTCTTGAGTTTCCAGGGTGAAAAGTGATCTTCAATCATCTGCTGGTCTGCTGCCAGAGGTAAAAGGGCACCTGTTATATCTAGTGTAACTGTTCAGGAACTTCCCATAATCAGGCCTACCAAAGAAAACTTTCGCACTGTGCAGAAAAAAGCAGAAAAGTCCACATTAATTGTGGAAATAGCAACATAAACATATTACCTCGCTACGGAAACCCATGAAAATTTGACATTCCATCAGGCCTTAAAACCTTATCTTACAAAAGTGTGGACTATCAGCTAACAAGGGAGATAAATACAGTAGAACACGGATATAACGAACTCCAAGGGACCAAGAAATTTAGTTCGCTATATCCGTTGTTCGTTATTCACATTTGACCGCCATCTTGGATTGTAGAGATGTAGAGACATGTATATGCTGAGGCTACAAATCTTTATTCTTGTACATGTACATTGACATAACGCTACTCACGAAGTTCGTTATTCGCGATAATTTTAATGATATTATAAAGGACTATTGACGGACTTTTAAATTTGTTCGCTATATCCGTGGTTCGCTATATCCATGTTTTACTGTACATAAAGTCCGTTTTATTTTCAAAGCGATCGATGAATTGCAATCTACTCGAACTAATAAACATAAAATGCTCATCGTAACACTGATCATAATCAAAACGCCAGACCAACCCTGTGGTTTTAGACTTATGTCCTAAAATAAAAAAGTTGTTTAACAAACTATCATTAAAATATCGGAGACAATTCACTATTTGTTCACGGCGACGAAAGTGCAGAGAAAGGGACAGCCAGGTGTGCAAGAAAGGTTGAGAGACTGACACAGCACAGGTTAATGAATCAATAACGCTATCGGCACTTGTGCACGCAGCTTTCTAACACTTGACTGTCCCTTTCTCTGCACTCCTACCTCGTAACAAATAGTGAACTGTGTCAATATTTTAGTAATAGTTTGTTAAGCCAATTGCACTATAGATTACACAGATTCATTATAATAATGAATTTGACATTTGTCTGTAGATACTAACGTCATCGTCACGAATAGTTGTACATCTGTAGAATTACCTCCCTTATTTGTCATACTAAAGTTTGAAAGAAGCAATCAGTCTTCAGTCGTCTAACAACATTGATGTGAGATACTGATCACACACGGTGAGAGACTTTTGAGTGATTATTCACACATTTGTCACAGTCTTAAATGTGTTGAAAGTCACTTTGGGCAAGAATTTTTATCATTTGTAAATTTGGCCAATGTCTCTTTTCTGAGAAAAAGTTGCCTTCCCTGTAAAATAGAAATGCACCCTGCCTAGTAATAAGTGTTTTGGGTGTCCGGGTTAGAATATCGATCTTCATAACCCATGCTTGTCGTAAGAGGCGACTAACGTGTTGTCAGGCTCGCTGACTTGGTTGACATGTCATCTGTTCCCAATTGCGCAGATCGATGCTCATGCTGTTGATCACTGGATTGTCTGGTCAAGACTCCATTATTTACAGACCTCTGCCGTATAGCTGTAATATTGCTGAGTGCGGCTTAAAACTAAACTCACTCATTCACTCACTGTTTTGGGTGAGCTTCATGTCAAATGACCATTTCAGTTTAAAGACATTTGAAATATACACACTTACTAAGTAGGAAAACATGTCTATGCAAAATGACACAAGATGTTACAGTGTGATGTCATTGTTTGATGGGGAAAACTGACTGACTGACTGAGTTTGGTTTTACGCCGCTTTTAGCAATATTCCAGCAACATCATGGCGGGGGACACCAGAAATGGGCTTCACACATTGTACCCATGTGGGGATTCAAACCCTGGTCTTTGGCATGACGAGCCAACGCTTTAACCACTAGGCTACCCCACCGATGGGGAAAACTGTGTTTGGTTTGTGACATATCACATATCACTTGTGATAAGTGAAAAAGTATTTTTTTGGGTTTTTGAAGTCCAGTTCCTGCTATGAGACAGAATGGAACCAGACATATAAATAATGCACTACGCCAGGAAAACAAACATGGCTGCCCATCATCTCCAGGTCAAGGGGTCTTGTGGACAGCTGGCTCCTTCATTTTTTGTGATTGCCTAGCCGTTTGAACTTGAAATGTTAAAAGTCATGAAAGCCTTGTACCTTATGTGTTTGACAGCTTAAATCATTTCTCGCCTCTGCCAAAGGTTCATGAAGTGAAATGGATCTAATGTCGTGTTCAAGATTATTGCTGTCATCAAGTGATCTTGGGTTTTTTGTTATTTAACGCTGCACTCGGCAATATTCAAGCTATATGGCGACTGTCTGTAAACAATCGAGTCTGAACCAGACAATCATGAACAGCATAAGCATTGATCTATTCAACTGAGATACGATGACATGTGTCAACTAAGTCAGCGAGCCTGACCACCCGATCCTGTTAGTTGCCTCTTATAACAAACATGGGTTGCTGAAGACCAATTCTAACATGGATCTCAAGAACATTGTTTTCTTCACTATAGCCTGAACAGTTGTAAAACATGTCATTTATTAAAGACAACTTTATCTAACACGAGCCATCATAAAAGTAATCACAATATCTGCGTGACACCATCTGCCTTGTTGAAGAGTAAACACTGCCATCGGAAAACATATAATGCTACAATATTGACGGAGAAGCAACCCAAGCTGTGCAGGAAGCTGTTGAACATGGCGGTAATCAAATTTTGGCGCAAGCATCTGGTAAAGAGTTCTAGTTCTGTACAGTATTAGCTGTTGCAATAGCTGAGTGGATGAGGCAACTGCCCTGAAATTGGAAGGATGAGGTTCAAACCTTGGATGCATCATACCAAAAGACATTAACGGTTGCACTAGTTGTGACCCATCCAGGAACAACATCAAGGGATAAAAGCAGCTTTCTGCACTGATATTCTCACGCCTGGACTATTGCAATAGCCTACTGTGTGGTGTGTCACAAGAATCTGTCTCAAAGTTACAACAAATAAAAAATACTGCAGCTCGAATTGTGTGTCTTGCTCCAAAGTTTGCACATATACAGCCACTTCTACGATCCCTACACTGGTTGCCCATCTCAGCTAGAATTGAGTTTAAAGTTCTTGTACTCGCATACCAGTGCCTTAACGCTATCGCGCCATCCTATTTGTGTGAACTTGTAAGCCAGTATAATCCAACCAGAACTCTCAGATCCCAGTCCCAAATTCTGTGCACAGTGCCCAGATACAGACTAAAACGTTTCATTTGCCTACCAATAAGCTGTTCTATGGAATTCTCTGCCTGAAGATCTCAAAACAGCCCCAAGCCTGCACTCCTTCAAAACTCTCCTCAAAACGTTTTTATTTAAGAAGTACTTTGTCTAGACTCTCACCCAAATAACTTTACTTGTAGCGCCATGAGCATACCAGCTGGCGTGGAGATTGGCGCGTTACAAATTCACTCATTATTATTATTATTATTATTATTATTATTATTATTATAAAACAAGGCAAATTGGGTTAGAGTTTGACTAACGCTTTGTCTCTGAATATATATAATGTGACAGTAACAAATAATCACATTTAAATTGAAAAGGAGCCCCAGTGAGATGGATATTGAGAAGCTGAGGAAATAGACTTTCTTCATTTAGGGCTTTATCATTGCAGGGAGGGCAAGGCAGTAGGGAAAATAATGTGGTTCAGGGACTGTGAGATATTCTAGGTTGGAGTCTGTAAGCTGTTTCTGTTTTATGTTGATAACTTACAATATTGTATCTTAGTTGGTCAGGAAAATGAACTAGTATAAGTACCTACTAGAACAAACACGCATCTAAATATGCATGTTTCCATACGAGTGAAATTGTAAGCGTGTTACCTTACCTTTGCACCTGGGAACTTGGGAGGTTTACGGAACACACATAGCAATACTGTCTAACTCATTGCTGTTACAGATATCAGCCTATCTTACAAACTGTTTTAAGCAGTTGAATTGTATTAATTTCTATGGAATTTGTAACAATCTTTCTAAATTTAATTTAAGGCGGACATGATTCAACCTGTCTTACTCATGTTCAAAGCAGGCAAATCCTGTGGGATTTCTTTGGAAACTGTAATTAAATTGATCAATAAAATTCAAATTGCATGATAATATGTTCGCTTTGAATCAGTAATTTTCTCGGAAAATGTGTTTTCTTAGATTGTTTCCATTGTTTCCTTCTCTGAAAATGAATATCACGATGATATGCAATTATGTAAAAATACGAACAGGTTTTTGAACTTTTAATTTTGCTAGCAAACTTTCCAATTCTTGATCTACTATGCAAAAGCCTGCTCCGAAGGATGTTATCTTGTTGTAGTATTTTTTTTATGAAGTCAGATGTTTTCTGCCACATTTTCGTTGGCAGCTTGTGGGTCAAAGACAGGGTAGTCTTTTGTCTATTTTTGTGTGAAATTTTGTCAGTTTTGAGAAATTATTTGCATAATTTCTTGAAGTAAGAGTCCCATGGCTCCAGTGTGGCGATCGCTGATTAAGTTTCTTTTCGGTTCGTCGATAGTTTTAACTTCGCGTCTTTATGAATCGTGTAACATATCGATTGAATGTTCGCGATTTGTTGTAGAGAGATCATCAGCTAACTTTAACATTTTAAACTGGCACCTTTTTGATATCACATGCCTTCTTGCATGAAATTTAGGGTGCTAAGGACTGTTTTATTTTAAAATGCACAGCGTCATTCAAAATGGCACTCATTGCACTGTGGAAGAAGGCGTCAGGTGGTCTGTAAATGGTGCAAGGGATAAGTCCAATGGTTATACACCTGACTTGATAAGCCTGAGTTTGATAAGCCTCTCTTGTCAGATGTTGTTACTCCAAAGAAAAACAAATCGCGTATTAAAAATGTTTTCATCATTTCCAAGAACTGAGGATTAAAAGTCAGCAAATACGATACGGAAGAATGATGCATAATGCGAAATGTCTCCAAAATGGTGGCAGTATTAATTCCGCGTTGCTGGCAAGGTCACATGGGGCACTTAAAGTATCACAAAAATATTATCTTGGTCAGTTATGAAATTATTTTTGACAAAATGCATTCTATTTTAGTTAAATTATTCATAAATACTTGAACATTATTTCGGGGCTAATTCATGGAATGTGAGAATTTATTAAAACGTTCGATTTGAGGTCATATATGTTAGCCTCGGCATGAATCATGATCCATTGATTCTTTATTATTCAGCTGTTCTTGTTGTAGGTGTTGCCGGCTGATGTCTTAACAAGAGTGAGCGAATACATCCCCGAAGTCATAGATTACATACAGAAGATCATTGAAAATGAATTTGCGTAAGTGAACGTAACTGATTCTGCAGCTTTGTAGTTTTTAGTTTACGGTCGTTGTCCATGTTCTCCTGGATGAAGAAAGAACAGAGGTCTGTACTTTTCAAAAAAGCTGTTTTTCATTATTACATGATGAAATGCCGACTAAGGACTCTTGGCGGTTTGTTATCCGATCTGGTTTCAAAGGCTCAAATGTTATTACTTTCACAAAATAGAATCTGTAAAAAACAACAACTAATGAGTTAGTTCTTAAATTCAGCTGCCTTTGATGGTAAGAAAGTCAAAAGTCAACCAAACTCATTCAAGTCTTTTTTTAGGGGAAATGGAATATTTCGATCTATTTATTTCTATTTTAATTGTCCACTGAGGATCATTTTACATCTGTAAAATGTAAGCATACCTTGTTGTGACAAAAAATCTTTCCCTTTCATGATTTATACCTGGTCTATACCTGGTCACTAAAATGAAATGAATTTATGTTGTCCAACAGAGAGGTTTTTTTACATAAAGGGAGACAACTGCTGTGTAACAGTTTCTATTGTTTCTGTTGACAATGGTTGTGTTAATCTAGTGTGTGATGATAAAAGAATCATTCGAGATGGCCATTTTAAGATCTCAGCTGCTTTTTTGTGAACTGTCCAATTGCAGTGGCATTTAATCTTCCCCTGATTATCGAAGTCATGTTGAAGATTTCTAAGGATGAGATATTTTTGTCACATATTTGATTTCGAATGTGAATAGCAGTGTGTAATGGCTGTCATTGAATATCAGCCCAGTGTCGTTTATGATGATTTATTTCCAAAGTTCAGATTCATTGAAATACTATTGACATTTCCAGAGCTGGAATCGTCCATTGGAGCCAGATATATCTATTACTATACACATGAATCATTACCAGTGACGGTTATCAAATGCTAATCACAGTAAGAGGGTTTAATGTCAAAGATGACGTTGGTGATTCATTCTGAAAAACTCGCCGTTTCATCTATTGTATGTTTTCATTTTGTGAAAGCCGGCAAAGACAAAAAGGATACAGTATCATGGTTTCATATATACATCAGGAGATAATCAGGCGTACAGCTTTGTTCACCTGACTGGAAGGGGTGTCTGTTTCTCACTACCATGAGGCTCAAACGTCTCAGAGTGTTGAATTCTGTCCAAAGCATGTGAGTGAATTGGGTTTAATACCGATTTGAATGGTATTCCAGTTATATCGCTGCATGTTAGTTTGTGGATAAGTTGCCTAAAGTGATGGAGGTCTTCAAGGTTTTAACTCAATCTCGGATCTTACCTGGAAGCAGAATCAGGGCAATTTGGGATTTGAACCCATGATTTCTGGCAACCTGAAGCATCCAAAGTAACACAAGTCTACACACATAACTGGGCATCTTTGATGACAGGGCAACCATTTCCTCTCTTACCAGATGATTTTCATATATATTCAGATATGATTGAAAACAAATAGAAGGTAAAATATAGCATAGATGGGAACATGGTAACATAATAAAGAATAGCTGGTAACATAATGCAGTGAGTGAGTGAGTGAGTATGGTTTTACGTCGCTTTTAGCAATATTCCAGCAATATTCCAGCAATATCACGGTGGGGGACACCAGAAATGGGCTTCACACATTGTACCCATGACGGGAATCGAACCCAGGTCTTCAGTGTGATGAGTGAACACTTTAACCACTGGGCTAGGTGGTACTTCAATACAGACTAGGTGATATCAGATTAGGTGGTACTTCAATACAGACTAGGTGATGTCAGATTAGGTGGTACTTCAATATAGACTAGGTGATATCAGATTAGGTGGTACTTCAATACAGAATAGGTGATGTCAGATTAGGTGGTACTTTAATACAGACTAAGTGATATCAGATTAGGTGGTACTTCAATACAGACTAGGTGATATCAGATTAGGTGGTACTTCAATACAGAATAGGTGATATCAGATTAGGTGGTACTTTAATACAGACTAAGTGATATCAGATAGGTGATACTTCAATACAGACTAGGTGATATCAGATTAGGTGGTACTTCAATACAGACTACGTGATATCAGATTAGGTGGTACTTCAATACAGACTAGATGATATCAGATTAAGTGGTACATTAATACAGCTGTTGTAACAAAATAGGTGGTACATTAATACACACTAGGTGATATCATAATACAAAACAGGTGATAATAGAATAGATGGTAACAGAAAGGAGCTTCAAGTGTACAGAAATAACCATGTTATTCCATCTTGCTGGCGAGCTACAGCACTGGGCAGTTTATAAATATACTGTATCTAATGTTTAGTTTATCCTTTGGCATTTCATTCATGATCCGACTTTTTAGTGAACGCCGTGGATTCCTGGGTAGAGAAGCCCCAGCAACATACACTTATCATACAAGTCATCAGACTTGGGGACTTCTTGGAGAGTTGGGGGCGATTGTGTAGCCTAGTGGTTAAAGCGTTCGCTGGTCACGCCGAAGACCCGGGTTCGATTCCCCACATGGGTACAATGTGTGAAGCCCCTTTCTGGTATCCCCCGCCATGATGTTGCTGGAATATTGCTAATAATGGCGTAAAACCATACTCACTCACCCACTCTTGGAGAGTTGATTGAATCATGGCAGAGACTTTGGCTGGTATTCCTTGATTATTTACAGATCTCATACAACTGGAATATTGCTGACTGTATTTTTAAACACAGTTGTGAATTTGGGAAATTTATTATTATTATTTTATCAATATTTCAGGTATGAATCCAATGGATCGGTATACTTTAATACCATGGCTTTCGACAAATCTGCAAGTCACCATTATGGGAAACTGGTGCCTGAAGCATACGGAGACAAGAAGGCTCTGTCGGAAGGCGAAGGTGAGAGACAGCTCTACTTCCTTACATTACCCTATCTATATAACACTGTAGCAGTAATCCTCCATTTTCCTGTCATCACACTGTAAAATCTTGACATTTTTCGGCAGATGCTCTCTTCACTGTTAGCTATCCAATATCAGTTGGTGGGAAATAGTATTAGAACTGCTCAACGGTGAACTAGGAAAATTGTTGTGAGATAAACATTTTTTTGTGTAAATCTTTTCTTAATTAACTTATAGTTTCTGCCATTATTCATCTGCTTGCAAGAGGAAACTCTGTTAAATTTGTTTGTGGATGAGTTTGAGGACAGTCTAAGTAAACTTAGACTCAGTATAATTCGTTGCACTGCTATACTGAGTCTAACAAACCCTAGTAGAAGGTTGCGTCAGCTTACCTTTGATCGACCTATGACCGTCCAATCAAATGCAAGACGGCCAAACGGATTTAACCAATCAGACAATGGCTACTGTTTAGGGTTCAGCAGGACTTACAAAATTCCCCGGTCACTGGCACTGATCTCTCAACAAATGAAAATCCCCATAAAACACAGATATTTTAACTGCAGTATATATGCTTAGGGCTTTCTGATGACATGGTTACTAATATGGTAGCTAATATTTCCGCAAGCTGACATCCTTGAATATTGACAAAACGCTATTTTCAGCGACTGTTTACTCACTGTTGTGGTGTGCTCCATGAGCATAACTCAGAAGCGATCGTACGGCAAATAGCTTTTGGAATCGTTCGGGTACAAACTTTTCGAGGTAAATGTTCAAAAGGTGTGTGCGAATGTCAAATTTTGTGATTCTGTAAGTTGTGTTCTGATTGGTCAGTCCAAAAGGTTAGCTGACGCGACCTTCTACTAGGGTTTGTTAGACTCAGTATAAGCAGTGTAACGAATAATACTGAGCCTAACTTTGAGAATGGATTCTCTATTACTTGGATTGCTGCACCATCCAGATTCCTTTGCACCCAAGTTTATCATGTTTCTAATGCTGGGATGGAATATACACAATGGGACGTAGATGTGATCTGTGTAATTCCATAATGGATAAGAAGTGTCATGTAAAGGTGGAGCCATGGAATCACTTCACAAGTGTTCAAAGGAAGTCCAATGGAGGTGGTTTTGGAGCATTAGGTACGCCAGATTTCTAGATTTAGAGAGAAACACCCAAATTTGGTTAAGTACAATTTTTAAGTCAAAGTTAAAACTAAAATTCAGTAGACTGTTAACTATTATAGTTCTTGCTGGATGTCAGAGACTACTGTAAGTGCCATACATTAACATTAACTTACAACTATCTTAGCGTTAAGAGAGGTTCGAAAATCTAAGCCCTTGTGTATTCTGCCATTGATGGAATAGAGGTTTTGCAGGCTCAATTTAGTGCTTTGATACTTGCACTGGTGCAACCCAATATTAGTCTAAGTTGCACCAGATGCAAGTCAATTTTTGAGTGGGTATACTTCTGAATAAAACATCTAAATAATTGCATCTACATATTGCAATAAAAGCAGTGCAACTTGAATTAGTTTGGAAAACAAGATACTATTACCTTTACAACTTGTTGTGTATAGCTGACATTGAAGAGGACATCTGTTAAAACTATGAGGATCAGAATAATGTCATAACGGCCAAAATACAGGATTTCTGGTTCCAGATTCAGAATTCTTTTAATTATTGACAACGATAACTAATGAAGTTGCTCTTGAGGTTGTTGCTTTCAAAACCCTGACATTATCTAAAGATGTTTAAATATGGTAACTGTTGTCACTCTGCCTGCCGTTTGTAATTCAGGGGAGCTAAGCGTGTCTGAGGAGCGTATGGGAGAGAAGAAGAGCCAGAATGACTTTGCCTTGTGGAAAGCTTCCAAGCCTGGAGAACCATCGTGGGAATCACCCTGGGGGAAGGTGAGTGGCATCAACTGATGAAATACTGTATATCATTGTGTATAAAACAAGTTTGTCATACCTAGAATTAGAGGGGATGGAAGGGGGGCCGCCTTATGCACCAGGTATAGTGCGTTTGGCTCAAAAGCGGACCGATGAATTGCAATTTAACTCAAAAACTAATAAACATATAATACTCAATGAAACGCTGATCATAATCAAAACATCAGACCAACTCTGTGATTTGTTTGCAGAATTTATGTTCTAAAATTATAAAAGTTGTTTAAAAATCATTAAAATATTCGCACAGTTCACTATTTATTACGAGGGAGGAGTGCAGAGAAAGGGACAGCCAGGTGTTAGAGAAGCACGTGCACAAATGCCGACGAAGTTATTGATTCATTAACCTGTGCTGTGCCGTCTCCATCCTTTCTCGCATACCTGGCTGTTCCACTCTTTGCACCCCTCCCTCGTAACAAATAGTGAACTGTGTCAAGATTTTAATGATAGTTAGTTAAACAACTTTTTTATTTTTAGGACATAAATTCTGCAAAAAACCCACAGAGTTGGTCTGACGTTTTGATTATGATCAGTGTGTCATTAAGTATTTTATGTTTATTAGTTTTCAAGTCAGATTGCAATTTATCGGTCCGCTTTTGAGCCAAACGGACTATAGTAGATCTCACATCTGTTTTGACTGGTGATGTTGACGTGTGTAGAACTTCTAACTGTTCCTGTTATAAACTCTTCCTGTTAATCTGAGGGGGCAGTGGGGTAGCCAAGTGGTTAAAGTGTTCACTTGTCATGCCAATAACCCAGGTTCAATTCCCCACAGTTATTGAACTAATTGTATTGGGTGGTCAGGCACCTTTGCATAAATTGATGCCTATGATTTCAATCACTAGATGATCTGGTCCATAATCATTTACAGACCAATGTCATCTAGCTGGGATATTGCTGAGTGTTGCTTTGAACATCAAACAAAACAACACATTTTCACTTGACACGGCATTCCGTTATCTGTCCTAAACAATGGTCACTCCTAACTCTTTGCAAAACATCCAGGTCTCTCATTCTGAAGCTATAAAAATAAAGCAATTCAAAACCATGATTGAAGAAGGAAGAAAAACATTTGGTTTTCAATTATTCCATGTCTTTATTCCTGTTAAAAAAGTGTCAGATCTGTCCAGTGCTACATCTGGACAGTTTCTGTTGTGGAACATGGTATCGTGTGGATTGTCAGTGTCTGCCGATGAGGGGGTGGAGGGGGCATAGTTCCATAAAGCGATCATAGCTTATGAAGTCTGTAGGAGTTAGGATCATCTTAGTGCAAAGTTCACTTTGTGGGATGATACCTAAGTGAAGTTCCCCACACGTTGTGTGGACTTCGTTCTTTGCTTCTACGTCATGTGACTTCATTGTTTCAAAAAGAGGCACACAGTGCGAGTGATGGAGTGAGGTGCGGAGAGAGTCCATTTAATGGTCTGTTTTTACTTCTTCATCTTGTTTAGATCAGGGTTAGACTTGGTCTTCAGCAACGCATGTTTGTTGTAAGAGGCGACTTACAGGATCGGGTTGTCAGACCTGCTGACTTTCGTATCGTGTGGATCGGCAGTGTCTGCCAATGGAGGGAGAGGGGGATGTAGGAGTCAAGGGGTGTGATGGAGGATGACATAGTTACACAAAGGGCTTGTAGCATATGATTGTCATAAGTCTGTAAGGTGAGGTGAAATTGGGTTTAACATCGTGCTTGAGAACATTTCGCTCATATGACGACGTGCATGCATGTGTATGTGTATGTGCGGCTGCTTGTACTAGCCCAGACTTAAGCTGGTTTTATAGTGCTAGCCCACTGAGATACCACGCTGCAGTGAAGCATGAATACCCCACTCAGACACATTATACTGACTCCGAGCCAACCAGTCCTTGTTGTACCCATTAATGCCGAACGACAGGCAGGGACCAACAAGTACCATATTTTATTTATCTTTTTTGGTATGACGCGGTGGGGATGAAAACCACGACCTTCCGCTCTCTGAGCGGACGCTCTAACCACTACACCATCTTGGAGGCGGTCTCATAAGTCTGTAAGAAAGTACCGGAGATAGGATCATCTTAGCGAAAGTTCACTTTGTGGAATGAAACCCCTGGTACAATTCTCTCACATTGATTGAGTGTGGAATTTATTTTCATACCTCTCATGTCATATGACTTCAAAACTGCTTAAGCTTGGCATACTGGGTAGCCAGTGGTTAAAGTTGTTCAGTTCGCCACTGGCATTTTTAAGACCCGGTTCGATTCCCCACATGTCATGCACCCAGCTGTGTCCGTGATAATATTGCTGGAATATTGTTAAAAGCGGGCGAAACTCCATTTCAAATAACCGGCCGTAAATTTTATCGGGTCAAGGATATTGCTAAATGCATCAATGCTGGAATATTGCTTTTGTACCGGGTACATCGAAACAAAAGCTGTTCATATTTCTCATACCATGCGAAAACTAAACTCAGTCAGTCAGTCAGTCAATGCTTCTAACACTGTGTATAATCTCACTCCATCACTCACCCACTAAATGTTCAGGTGTCATCGAAAGTGTCAGGGTGGAGATGGTCAGTCTTTAAGGGTCTGTTTTTACTTCATCTGGTATGTTGTTTAAAACTTGAGTGAATGAGCCTGTTTGAAATTTAAGTTCACATGGGCAATATTTTAGGCTGTGAGTGAAACATAGGACAAGATTTTATGGATAACAACTTCAACGTTAATACAGATTCTGTTAAGAGGTGTGAGTGGAGTGAGTTTGTTTATGCCATACTCAGCAGTATTCCAACTGTGCTGACCAGACAATCCAGTTGTCAACACTCCTGCTTGACAACAGTACAAGAATCTGTATCAAACGTCGTAACCAGACTCATGAAATAAAGAAGTTGTTATCCATAAAAACTTGTACTATGTTGTAACGCCTCAACTTCTAAAATGTACATTCCTAAGTGACAGAAGTCAAACACTTATCCAAGTTTCTTCTTGTCAGTTTTCAAATCATAAAATTCCAAAGAGTCCCTTGTTTATAATTCTACCCACAGGAGTCTTGTAGTTCTTGAAAATTTTAAGAAAAATTTAAAACACTTCCACTCTGTAAACACGTGTTCTGTGTTGTCCATGCAGAAAAATTATGAGAGGTTTTCAACAACTACGTTGTGACGTCACAGCTAAGGGAGATAACTCTTTAAGCATACCACTAGGGATAGCTATGACTTAGTTAAAATTTTCATTTCCATTCTGTATGTGTCTGTGGTATCCACAAGAATAAGGCAACCATAATTCAGAGGGAATGTTTACGACATACTTCATAGGATATAGGAGGTCCGTAGATACTATAGCAGCACACCTGAATATTCTCCTTTAATTTGAACACTTATCTGTCAAGACACTACCTGTAATCATCATACCAAAAGACGTTAAAATATGGTACTTGTTGGTGCCTGCCTGGCGCTCGGCATTAATGGGTACAACAAGGACTGGACGGTTGGAGTCAGTATAATGTGTCTGAGTGGGGTATTCATGCTTCACTGCGGCATGGTATCTCAATGAGCTAGCACTATAAAACCAGCTTCAGTCTGGGCTAGTACAAGCAGCCGCACATACACATACACACGCATGCACGTAGTCATATGAGCGAAATATTCTAAGCACAACGTTAAACCCAATTTCACCTCACCTCACCTCACCTCACCTGTAATCAAGGCCATCATCAACATAATAAATGTTCACAACCCACATCACTAGTCTGTGCACCATACCTGCATTTGTTGATCTCCCTAACGTAGTGTGCGAATACCACTGCGATAATCTTTTCTCAGACATCAACGGACAGTCTCAGCCTGTTCACAGCTCTGTCATGTTACACTTACCCAACTATCAATCATTTGAAGAAAAGGGCTTTTAGGTATTTGTTCTCTTAGCAGAATCTTAAACATAATGAAAAACTGGCTTGGCCAGAAGTCTTGTGCTAATTTCATCCCTAAAGTACACGTTATAATGTTAAGGTGTCACAGCCATGTGGACCAGGCTAATTGCGTGCCATCTATCCCTGAAGATTCATTCCACAGACTGGTCCAGACTCAATTATTTAAAGACTGCTTCAATGTAGCTAGTATTTTGCTGGGTTCACCACTAAACTGCATTTACTTGTGTGTTCACTTTTGTTGTTCCGTTAGCATGTTACAATAAGAATATGGATGAATTATGACATTACACATGGTTTTAACAGAGCTTTCTACCGGTGAAGATCCGCGATAGAATTGTTCTTCAGCATACCATGCTTGTCGTAAAAGGCGACACCCGTGATGACCTGGGTTAGAATTAACCTTCAGTAACCCATGCTTGTTGTAAGAGGCACAACCCCCATGAAGGTTAGAATTGATCTTCAGTAACCCATGCTTGTCATCAAAAGGCGACTAACAGTTGGTAAGATCAGCTATAGTCTGTTTGTAGTGAAACGATATCAATGAATTTCACTTTATTTAAACAAAAGTAAATCACAAAGTGAAATTAAGATTGTGGAATCCTCATGATTTTACCTTCCCAATTGAACTTCTAAATCTCAGAATTTTCAACTTATGATAAAAGTTGTTTAACAATGATCATTGTTTCAAATCGCTATTATTGGTTTGTATTACAAGGGGTAAGCACAGTAGATGGAACAGTGAAACAAATGCACGTGCGGTCTGTGATGAGCGTTAACTTATACTACCGTAGAAACCAACCCTTCTTGTTCTCAGGGTTTCATTTAATGTGCATACCCCCTTGTAATACAAACCAATAATAGCGATTTGAAACTATGATCGTTTGTTAAACAACTTTTGTCCTAAGTTGAATAAAATTCTGAGATTTTAATGTTCAATTGGCAAGGTAAAATCATGAGGATTCGCAATCTTAATTTCACTTTATGTGATTTACTATTTTGTTTAAAGTGAAATTAATCGGTACGTTTTCACTGCAAACAAACTATAGCTTGGTTGACACATGTCATGGTATCCCAACTGTGTTGATTGATGCTCCCTGGTCATGTACTGTATACAAACTGAGAGAGGGGTTTTGAATGATAAATGGAAACTCACTTTTCTGTCTTCTCACATCAAACATATGAAAAGTCTTGAACAGCTCAACAAGCCTTTGATCTTACCAGTTTTATTGACTCACACTGATATATTTGACAGCAAAAGACACAAGTTTGAAATTCACTATTCATCATCAGATGACTTCATTGAGTGGCATATAGAAGTTGGCGTGATGAACAACAGGGAGAGTTCTATGGATATACAACAGGGCTCGACATTCACGCTATCCCCCTGGCCCAGGTCTAGTAAAATGTTGAAAGGACCAGTGCAAGTTTGATGAGTGCTATCCCGACGGAGAATCCAGGACAAAATCCACCCCAAAATTGCAACCTAGGACAAAATCCACCCGGACAAAATCCACCCTAAGAAATTCCACCCTAAGAAAAAAAAACTAATGACATGTTTAGTCACAGAAATGAATTTTATTCATATCAGTCATTCATAATCGATAACAAACACAACCAAAATACATATGTAAGCACATTTTTGCATATATAGATATGACATTTTCACATTTCACATTTATGAATCATTCATGCATCAATACATATACATCAACAACATTAGGAACAACAGCCAATTAGGAAAACGTAAATGCTATCAAAACAATGCTTGCAATGCTTGAGAAAAACAACTTGCAATGCTTGAGAAAAACAACTTGATAAAAGATCAGGACACACTAAAACTTTTAACAATAGCAATTTGAGAAGGGTGGATTTTGTCCATTTTTTTGTTAAGAAGAGGTGGATTTTGTCCGGGGTGGCAATTTTGGGGTGGATTTTGTCCGGTCACACCCGACGGTCTAGTACATATTTAAGGCTGTCAATAAGAGTCCGTTAGCAGGACCAGTAAGAATCTGTAAGGAACAGTGATTTTTAAAAGTTACTGGCCCTGTGGTCTTGTTCGGGAATTTGGGTGAATGTCAAGCCCTGTACAATAATAAAGAAGTTATATATTCATAGAATTCTCCCCATTGTTTATCATCAGATGGTGGGTGATTATAGGAAGTTTCCGAACTTTGCAAGACCAATAGACAAGACACAAGTTGTGTCCCTTGACAATTTTTAGATTTTACGAGTGTTTCAAATTTATGAGACCTGAGAAAGCAGTCTGTATATCAATGTATTCTGTCCTTCAGAAATGATGAGATACAAAATGCACCAGCTCTAGTTCCCTTGTGATTGTAGTCCCGGAACCTTGAGATTTTACACCTAGATCAGATCCTCCCCCTTTCTGATCTCCTGATGTCCTCACCATCTCTGATGTCCTAAAAGACTCAGTCCAGTTGTCAATCCGACTAATCTGTGTGATTTCTTCTTGTAGGGGCGTCCTGGTTGGCATATTGAGTGCTCAGTAATGGCCAGTTGCATCCATGGAGAATCTATGGACATCCATACCGGAGGCTTTGATCTCAAATTTCCTCATCATGACAATGAATTAGCCCAGGCAGAGGTAAGGTTAAATTCATTCTTGGTATGATTGAGAAGATTTTATTTTTCTTCATTTTGTACTGTTTGCTTATATCTCAGTCTCTCGAAATGTGGAATATAGTGCTGTATATCAACTCCCAAAATTGAAAAATTAACCATGGATATGATAAAGTTAATATAGAAAACTAAATAGTCTCAGCCCAAAATCTTTAACAGGGCAGGTAATTTTGATAAGATGGCTTGGATTGCAGCACAGATAATATTTTGAGAGAGTGACTAGCCAACCATGTTGGTAATGTGGTTCCAACAAACCTGTATAAGGCAAGGATTCATTCAAGTGGACTTTCTTTCTGTTCTTGGAGAACACAGAACAGGAAGTTCCTAATACTTTTCAGGAGAAAGAGAGATAGACAATTAATACTAGTCAAGATAAGTATAAGATAATATTTTTACTCTTAAAGATACATTTTTGTGGATCTTGTAGAAACTGGTTCATGCCAGTACAGTTAAGTATGAATTAGGATCAGCAGTGAACAATGGCACTATATAATTCACCCTAACCTTTCTTCCTTACTTTGGAAAGTTAGGCCAGACCAATTTTATTTCTTGTTTTACAGATTTTTGTCCTCTGAAAACCTAAAGGCAGGAGGGGGAAAATAATCACCAGTCAAAGTAATATTCCTTTTAAATACTAAAATATTTTACTTTGGCATTTTATGAAGTGTGTATGGGGCCCAAAAAATCCAAAAGAAATTCTTCCAAGTTTACAGTTTTGGCCAATGAAAACATTAGGATTTTTTTTAAAATTTTGAGCGGTGGAAATTCATTTTGGTTTTTTCTTACTCTTGACAAAATATGGCCTACGGATCTGTAAAACAAGAAATGAAATTGATCTGGCCTTAGATTGAATAATAAAGACTTAATAGAAACATGTTACTATATATGATTGAAGATAAAGCAGATTTAAAAATAAAAAAGGTGTTAGTCTGTAGAAGATGACACTTTTATGAAACTATTTTCTAATTTTCATAGCAAGCACTTGAGTATAGTTGGTGTTTGATGTACTGTACTAAGTAAACATACATCGTCTAGCTTCAGGTGAAAGAGCAAGAGATGATCGTTGTCTGTGAAATTTGACATTTAACATTACTAGACATGATGGTTTACCATTTCTGTTGTATTTCTCATTATCCTATTTCTGTTTTGTTACGATTATTGTGTGTAATTGTCTAGCAAACTAAGCTGTTTATACAGACCAACAGACGTACTTATGCGTCGTTAAGAAAACATTTAAGGACGACAAGGATGGCAAAATATACATTTCAACTTCTTTGTTCAGTTCAGTTTCTAATGCTATGATATTTGTTCCCGTCTGGAGATTCTGTCCATAGGAAGTAATGTCCTTGGTCAAAATTTCAAGGGAATTGTTTTCGAAGGATATTATTTCCAGAAACAGTTTCTGGAATACTTGCTCACATGAATATTCTTTTGTCACGAAACATTATTCAATTACCAGTACAATAATATATCCACATTTGGCTTTGTATTCTAAAACTAATCTTCATCTTGTGTAGACAGTGCTTCCTATTGGTAAAAATCATACAGATCAAGAATCGTTACCTAAATATCAATCAATTACTGCTAGATATCAGAGTAACTTAGAGCATATATGTAAAAAGGATCAAAAAGAAAACATTACACCTATATTTGTGGTTATATATATGAATTACTTTGACTTTTGAAGTTTAAGAAAAACATTTGCTTTCTGTTGTCAGCAGTTGACACAAGCAAGTCTGTTTAGGTGTATCAAAACTAGACTTCATAAAAATAGTTTCACAGCTTTAATTTCAATAATCATTCATCTTTCTTCCAATCAACAATAATACCAATAATTAATTTTGTTTTCACCAGCCACAATGTAAAGTCTCCTTCTTACTTGTGTGTCTCGTGTTTAGGCTTACTATAAGTCTCCTTCTTACTTCTGTGTCTCGTGTTTAGGCTTACTATAAGTCTCCTTCTTACTTCTGTGTCTCTGTGTTTAGGCTTACTATAAGTCTCCTTCTTACTTCTGTGTCTCGTGTTTAGGCTTACTATAAGTCTCCTTCTTACTTCTGTGTCTCGTGTTTAGGCTTACTATAAGTCTCCTTCTTACTTCTGTGTCTCGTGTTTAGGCTTACTATAAGTCTCCCTTCTTACTTCTGTGTCTCTGTGTCCTCGTGTTTAGGCTTACTATAAGTCTCCTTCTTACTCTGTGTCTCTGTGTTTAGGCTTACTATAAGTCTCCTTCTTACTTCTGTGTCTCGTGTTTAGGCTTACTATAAGTCTCCTTCTTACTTCTGTGTCGTGTTTAGGCTTACTATAAGTCTCCTTCTTACTTCTGTGTCTTGTGTTTAGGCTTACTATAAGTCTCCTTCTTACTTCTGTGTCTCGTGTTTAGGCTTACTATAAGTCTCCTTCTTACTTCTGTGTCTCGTGTTTAGGCTTACTATAAGTCTCCTTCTTACTTCTGTGTCTCGTGTTTAGGCTTACTATAAGTCTCCTTCTTACTTCTGTGTCTCTGTTTAGGTTTAGGCTTACTATAAGTCTCTCCTTCTTACTTCTGTGTCTCGTGTTTAGGCTTACTATAAGTCTCCTTCTTACTTTTCTGTGTCTCGTGTTTAGGCTTACTATAAGTCTCCTTCTTACTTCTGTGTCTCGTGTTTAGGCTTACTATAAGTCTCCTTACTTCTGTGTCTCATGTTTAGGCTTACTATAAGTCTCCTTCTTACTTCTGTGTCTCGTGTTTTAGGTTTAGGGCTTACTATAAGTCTCCTCCTATAACTCTTACTCTGTGTCTCGTGTTTAGGGCTTACTATAAGTCTCCTTCTTACTTCTGTGTCTGTTTAGGCTTACTATAAGTCTCCTTCTTACTCTGTGTGTCTCGTGTTTAGGCTTACTATAAGTCTCCTTCTTACTTCTTCTGTCTCTGTGTTTAGGCTTACTATAAGTCTCCTTCTTACTTCTGTGTCTGGTGTTTAGGGCTTACTATAAGTCTCCTTCTTACTTCTGTCTAGTGTTTAGGCTTACTATAAGTCTCCTTCTTACTCTGTGTCTCAGTGTTTAGGCTTACTATAAGTCTCCCCTACTTACTCTGTTCTCTCTGTGGTGTTTAGGCTTACTATAAGTCTCCTTCTTACTTCTGTCTCTGTGTTTGCTTTTAGGCTTACTCTCTGTATAAGTTTAGGGCTTACTTAGTCTCCTTCTTACTGTCTCTGTGTCTTCTACTATAAGTGTTTAGGCTTACTATAAGTCTCCTTCTTACTTCTGTGTGTCGTGTGTTTAGGCTTACTATAAGTCTCCCTTCTTACTTGTGTCTCGTGTTTAGGGCTTACTATAAGTCTCCTTCTGTCGTGTTTACTTCTGTGTCTCCTTGTGTTAGGGCTTTACTATAAGTCTCCTTCTTACTTCTGTGTCTCGTGTTTAGGCTTACTATAAGTCTCCTTCTTACTTCTGTGTCTCGTGTTTAGGCTTACTATAAGTCTCCTTCTTACTTCTGTGTCTCGTGTTTAGGCTTACTATAAGTCTCCTTCTTACTCTGTGTCTCGTGTTTAGGCTTACTATAAGTCTCCTTCTTACTTCTGTGTCTCGTGTTTAGGCTTACTATAAGTCTCCTTCTTACTTCTGTGTCTCTAGGTGTTTAGGCTTACTATAAGTCTCCTTCTTACTTGTTTAGGCTGTGTTTAGGCTTACTATAAGTCTCCTTCTTACTTCTGTCTCGTGTTTAGGCTTACTATAAGTCTCCTTCTTACTCTGTGTCTCGTGTTTAGGCTTACTATAAGTCTCCTTCTTACTTCTGTCTCGTGTTTAGGCTTACTATAAGTCTCCTTCTTACTTCTGTCTCGTGTTTAGGCTTACTATAAGTCTCCTTCTTACTTCTGTGTCTCGTGTTTAGGCTTACTATAAGTCTCCTTCTTACTCTGTGTCTCGTGTTTAGGCTTACTATAAGTCTCCTTCTTACTTCTGTGTCTCGTGTTTAGGCTTACTATAAGTCTCCTTCTTACTTCTGTGTCTCGTGTTTAGGCTTACTATAAGTCTCCTTCTTACTTCTGTCTCGTGTTTAGGCTTACTATAAGTCTCCTTCTTACTTCTGTCTGGTGTTTAGGCTTACTATAAGTCTCCTTCTTACTTCTGTCTCGTGTTTAGGCTTACTATAAAAACAACCACTGGGTTCGGTACTTTCTTCACTCGGGTCACCTGACCATCGAGGGCTGCAAGATGTCCAAGTCCTTAAAGAACTTCATCACAATCAAAGAAGCGCTCCAGCGCAACACCGCACGCCAGATCCGTCTGCTGTATCTGCTGCACGCCTGGAAGGACACCCTGGACTACAGCTCGGAAACCATGGACATCGCCGTGCAGTACGAGAAGCATGTCAATGTAAGGACACAGTTGTTAGCTCACTTGGTAGAAAAATGATCTTACTTCTACAGCTATCTCTTTCATTAGGTGAGATGAGATGGCATTTATCTTTGTGTCAGGGGCAATGGGGTAGGCTAGAGGTTGAAGTGTTTGCTTGTCACGCCATAGAACCAGGTTCAATTCCCCACATCGGTACAATGTGTGAAGCCCATTTCGGGTGTCCCTTGCCATGATATTGCTGGAATAATACTAACAGAGCATAAAATACTCACTGTTTGTCTTTGTCTTGAAGGGGCGGTGGGGTAGTCTAGTGGTTAAAGCGTTCGCTGGTCATGCTGAAGACCTGGGTTCGATTCCCCACATGGATACAATGTGTGAAGCCCATTTCTGGTGTCCTCTACTATGATATTGCTGGGATAATTCTAAAAGCAGCATAAAAACATACTCATTCTTTGTGTTGAAGATTTATAGCACTTATATAGGTATGCAAGTGTGTGCGTATGGGCTAATGGCAATGGAGATATGATCAACATTAATACCACAGGCAGACGCCATAGTCAGTCCAAGCAGACCAGTCGTTGTCTATCCCCTAGATGCACTGCAATAACATATTTTAGCATCGTCTGGTTATCTCATTAAGGAAATAACCATTGTGGACAACTCATATGTTCAAATGTGTTTTTCAGGAGTTTTTCCTGACGGTGAAGGACATTCTGCGTAATTCTCCCAGTAATGGTGTAGCAGCCTGGGACAAATGGACTCAGGAGGAGATAACTCTCAATGAAAGGTACTAATAGCGTGTCTACTCAGGAGGAGATAACTCTTGTCTGCTACAGTTGTGGGGACTACGCTAAACACAGATAATTCCAATCTTTCAGTTCCCAGACAATAAACCAAATACACTTTCAAATGTTTCTCATGTTTGATTTACTGATATGAACATTCCGTCTCGTAGACTACTGATCAGTGATCGATGTGGTTTATTAGAATCAGTGTTATAGTCAGTGGGTTAGCCTTGCGGTAGAGGTATTTGCTCATCATGCTAAACACCTGGGTTTAATTCCCTACATGGGTGAAATGTATGAAACCAATTTTCTGTCCCTCCCTGCCTAGATATTGCTAGAGTAATGCCAATATGTATATATCTCTTCAATATGTATGTTTACTGTGTATCGCCGCCTCTTGAGTGACCCTGCTCATATAGTGACACCCTTGTATAAACCTTTCAGTTTGATGCTAATTTATATACCCTGTCTTTGTAGTGATCCTGAACGATCAGATCACAGCACATACATACATAATTCCTCTATTCGCAATAAAAGTGTTTAACAATTTCCACATTTCTATACGTTTATATTGCAATTCCCACAAGCCATCAGACTACCAATTATTGAAGTTCAGAAATAAATAAATAAAACTGGCATTTGTGTGGTTAGCCATCATTCTTCTCAAACCTTGGTCCCTACATCTGACATGTATTAGTTGTGTCTGTAGAGGTGTCATTATGCACTAGATCTGTAAAGAGGGAGGGATTGCTAAGGCCAGACCAATTTTATTTCTTGGTTTCTTCGCCTGTCGTATTTTTTCAAGAATAAGAAAAAAAATAAAGATTAATTTTCCCCGCTTAAAAATTAAAACCTAATGTTTTTATTGGCCAATAATGTAAACTTACAAGAAAAACATTTTTAGATTGTATTTTGCCGCATATACACTTGATAAATTGCCAAAAGTAAAATACTTTGAGTATTTAGAAGGAATATTACTTTGACTGGTGATTTTATTTATGTATTTATTTTCTCCTGCCTTAAGGTTTTCTGAGGACAAAAAGCCATAAAATAAGAAATAAAATTGGTCTGGCCTAATGGAGAAATATTTTGTTGCAGATTTCTGCAGAAGAGGGATGCTGTCAATGAAGCACTTTGTGGTCAGTAAACCATCACGGAGCCCTATGTTATTGAATAGAGAGGGGCGATGGGGTAGCCTAGTGGTTAAAGTGTTTGCTCGTCATGCTGAAGACCTGGGTTCGATTCCACACATGGATACAAATGTGTGAAGCCCATTTCTTGTGTTCCCCACAATGATATTTGATGGAATATTGCTAAAAGCAGCATAAAACTAAACTCACTCATTCATTACCTATGAAGCGTGAAAATAGCACAATATTACATAATGGTTTCTTAAACAACTTTTTCTGTGATTGGTCATAAAACATCAGGTTTCAGATCCTGTTGGGTATGTTATTTATGTTTTGTGCACTTATCCATGTTTCGGTTATTTAATCATTCATGATTCTCATTCGAACCCAAACAGACTGTACTGCTTAGAACTGGTCTGGAGCACCCTGTGCCAGTTATCAGAGGCAGCCAAATTGATCTGGTAGTCTGACTTGTGACTTGGTTGACTGGTTATTATTCTACCCTGACAGTGTGAGTTGGTGCTCACAACATTGACCACTGGATTGTCTGGTCCAGTCTTGACTACTTACAGACTGGAAACATAGCTGGAATATTGCTTGGTGCAGCATTCAATCAGTTGGTGCAGCATTCAATCAGTTTTAGCCCTGTAAAAGATGTGTGCAAGGGTTGGGTAACTAATCACACACTGTGTTTTTGTTCAGACAACATCGACACACGCACAGCCCTGGAGCATATACGAGAGTTGGTCTCCATAGGAAACAGTTACATCGCCAAGGCCAAGGCAGAGAAACGCAGGCCCAACCGACAACTCGTCTACAACATTGCCGCTTACATCACTCACCTGTTCAAGGTTGAAATGATTGAGTATATTCTGTGAAAGAATGATTCTTATGACCATACATACATTTAATACCAGCGTTCACCGTAAATAGCTGCAGAATTACTGATGTGGCATTAATCAATATTCACTCACTCACTCTAATACCAGCTAGTTATCCCAACTTGCCGAATCAGAGCCAGGTCCTTTAACTACTTAAGCAGGGACAGTGATACCGGGAGACAGTATTTCTCACTTGTATTAACAACGTACTGTACATAGGAATTGAACTGCAGTGGAATATGTAGAGAAATACGTAAAGCTCACAATTTTTCAGTTCTGTGAAAGGGGCTGGTGTGGTAGCATAGTGGTTAAAGTGTTTGCTTTGCCAAAGACCCAAGTTCGATTCCAAGCATGGATACAATGTCGGAAGCCCATTTCTGGTGTCCCCCGCCATATTACTTGAATATTGCTAAAAACAGTGTAAGACTAAACTTACTCACTCAGTTCTGTGAATGCTTGGCTGAAACATTTTGATCACTTGACATTGAATTAATGATCACAAATGAATGACATGAATATACATACAATATTTTTGTGCTTGTACCACTGCAAGAGACTATAATCTGTCAGCCTTACGTTTAGCACCCACAGTATGTTTGTAATTATTGAATTATTCTATCTGTATCCTCTGACCTAATTAGAAAAATCACTTGTATAGTTTGTTTCCCCAAATTAAAGATTCCATCTTATTATCGTGTAATTTCATGGAGGGGTGCACGTTACGGTCATGGGGGGTGACAACAAATGACTGAATGTGTGTCGGACATGCTCCCAGCATGCACACCTTGGGTCACGCCTACTTTACTGATCAGTGGCAGTACTTGTGAGAGTGAGTGAGTTTGTTCTCAAATATGCTGTCATGCAGTGCTGGACTATAGAGATGGAGCACAGACGTTGATCAGAACAGTTTTATAGAATAGTCTAGGCTGGAGTTTGAGGTGAGGTGAAATTGGGTTTAACGTCGTGCTTGAGAATATTTCCTCATATGACGACGTGCATGCGTGTGTATGTGTATGTGCGGCTACTTGTACTAGCCCAGACTTAAGCTGGTTTTATAGTGCTAGCCCTATGAGATACCATGCCACAGTGAAGCATGAATACCCCACTCAGACACATTATACTGACTCCGAGCCGACCAGTCCTTGTTGTACCCATTAATGCCGAGCGCCAGGCAGGGACCAACAAGTACCATATTTTAACATCTTTTGGCTGGAGTTTGAAGATAATAGTGCTCAAACAATATGGTAATTATGATCTATATTGTTGAATAATCAAATGAGATCTTATACTAACTTATATTTCAGGTGTTTGGGGCTATTGAAGGAGATGAAGGCATTGGTTTCCCAACTGGAGGTGCCGGCACCACTAATGTGAGTAGCACGCCCGTCAAGGCACAACAAATGTTGGGCTTGACCTTCTGAGAATGACCTACCAATCAAGCTGGAGATGTATGATACACATCAACTGAGTGTATTCAAAGTGTATCCATGTTTATTGATTGTAACATTATTCATTCTCTTTTGACTGTTGCCACTGACAATTATAAAGGGGAGATAATCAGGCAGAGCTATGATCATTTATGGATCAGAAAGTGTACAATTTTTATTGACTCGTGTTGAAATATTAATTTCAAAATTCACTGAGGTGAGATTCTTTGTATCTCAAATTTCTTGCATTTTTAAATGGCTTGTACTGTAAATTTGATCTCATAAGACACTTGGTGACATAAAAAATATCTCCAGTATCTTGCATTTTGGTTTTACCACCATATATTGGTGTCATCAACGTTGGTACAGTCAGCATTTAAGTTCAAGTTTAATTAAAAAATAGAGTATTGCCACATGCATTTTGTCCTGATCAGATTTTTGCTCTACATATATGTACTTCGGTGTCTATTTTGAGCCTCTGATTTCTCTCTGTTGTATCATAACTTGTATTATTGTTGTTGACGCAGGTGGAGGAGACTGTCATGCCTTATCTGTCAACACTTGCCACATTCCGGGAACAGGTTCGACAAACTGCTCGGGAACAGAAAGGTAACACCAGAACACAGAACTGAGTGAATGAGTTTTACGCCACTTTCAGCAATATTCCAGCAATATCATGGCGTTGGCTTCACACACTGTAACCATGTGGGGAATTGAACCGGGATCTTCAGCCTGACAAGCAGACGCTTTAACCATTAGGCTACACTACTGCCCTGAACACATAACTGTGTATTATTTTCAACACTCAGTTGACCGATCACCCATGGCAAAATGTTAATTAGATTTGCTGCTGAAAGTTTGAAGTTTTAAAAGAAAGGCAAGTGGTAAAGAGAATATTATCTTACAATATTGTGACAACATTTGCAACAATGTGCTGATGAATCTTTGTGTTGGACTTGAAAAAACGCACAAAGGGCATTAAACTCATTGACGGAGATACTCTTCTCAAAGATAGAGATTATTGTGTATACGACCCTGAAAACTTGTCCTTACAGCAACGGCCATCTTGCAAATGTGTGATGACATCCGTGACAATGTGCTGCCGAATCTGGGTGTTCGACTAGAAGACCACGAGGGGCAGCCCCCTGTCATTAAACTCGTCGACAGAGATACTCTTCTCAAAGAAAGGGAGGAAAAACTGAGAGTGAGTTATTTAGAACTTATCAATCACTATCCAATATAAACATGGCAAACTGGGACAGGCACAGCCAGTATTAGTTAGTCCAATGTTTGTTGTAAATCTGGAGAATTACATTGTTTTCTTCAAAATCTAGTTATTTTACATGTAACACTTGTGAGAAATGGATTTGACTAACAGCATGTGAACATTTTGGAAGTCCATGATGGGATTCCCTCTGATCTGAATCAGACACCTTGTCCACAAAGCCAAATCATTTACCCCTATCAGCAAGTGGACAAGGTAAGGATGTCATCATCATCGGGATGACTCCATGCCTGTAGTCCGTCTCACAGGACTCGAACCACATTTTTCCCTTCTGCCCAAAATGAGTGAGTGAGTATGGTTTTACGCCGCTTTTAGAAATATTCCAGCAATATCACTGCGGGGGACACCAGAAATTGGCTTCACACATTACCGTATACCCATGTGGGGAATCAAACCCAGGTCTTCGGCGTGACGTGCGGACACTTTAATCACTAGGCTACCCACTGCCCCTGCCCTAAATGAAGCATTTCTACATTTCCTCAGGTTCAGGGGCTCTTTTTCAATTTAAAAGGAGTTATTTGTTTCCATCAAATTATACATACTAAAAGTCTAAGCGTCAGTCTATATGTCCTGCTTCAGAAGCAGACGGTCAGTGTAGCTGTTTGTTTTGTGTTGTAGCTGGAGCAACAGAAGAGGGAAGAGAAGGAGAGAAAGAAGAGAGAACAGGAAGCAGCCAAGGTAAGTAGAGAAGTCAGCCTCGGTGAATATTAGTTTGTCCATCCATATTTATATGACGTCTTGGAGATGCATGTAGAAGTTGGAGTACTAAATAAGGATAAGATATGGTTGAACAACTTCTTTATTTACAATGAGGAGCAACGATAACATCGTTATCAAGCAAGTGAAACATTGCTCCTCATGGCAAAATATATGAATGGTATGAACGGTGTACAGGTGAGCCTTTGTTTCACTACTACTATACATACTTCTGTACTTCTGTCATTAGGCTGCCAAGGAGGCTCTCAAGAAGATTCCACCAAGTGAACTCTTCAGGAAAGAGACTGATAAATATTCTGCCTTTGATGAGCGGGTAAGATGGCGGACTATGGCTTTAAATGTTCCTAGACAAATATCTCAGAATTACAGTTTCATACTGCGGTATGTGATTACTACAATTGCATCCTACAGTGTGTCATAACCATAGTTGGATACATTTTAATAATGTATATACTATAATGTGTTTAAACTAGTGTTTGATCATGAATGAGTGTGTAAGAAATCAATACAATTTAACTTGCAACTAATTTTGTATCTAACTTACTTTTGCTCCTTAGATGCATTTTAAAAACAAATTGTTTTAAGATATATGGTAGCTGACAAACACTCATATTGTAGTCTTTGTTGCTGACATCATTTTTCCACATCCGATGTCCATTTTTCCTTATTCGATGTCCCTGTTACCTTATCCAATGTCCCTGTTACCTTATCCGATGTCCCTGTTACCTTATCCAATGTCCATATTTCCTCATCTGATGTCCATATTACCTTATCCAATGTCCCTGTTACCTTATCTGATGTCCATATTACCTCATTCGATGTCCCTGTTACCTTATCCAATGTCCCTGTTACCTCATTCGATGTCCCTGTTACCTTATCCGATGTCCCTGTTACCTTATCCCATGTCCCTGTTACCTTATCCAATGTCCATATTTCCTCATCTGATGTCCATATTACCTTATCCAATGTCCCTGTTACCTTATCTGATGTCCATATTACCTCATTCGATGTCCCTGTTACCTTATCCAATGTCCCTGTTACCTCATTCGATGTCCCTGTTACCTTATCCGATGTCCCTGTTACCTTATCCAATGTCCCTGTTACCTCATTCGATGTCCCTGTTACCTTATCCAATGTCCCAGTTACCTTATCCCATGTCCCTGTTACCTCATTCGATGTCCCAGTTACCTGATCCGATGTCCCTGTTACCTTATCCCATGTCCCTGTTACCTTATCCAATGTCCCTGTTACCTCATTCGATGTCCCTGTTACCTTATCCAATGTCCCTGTTACCTCATCCGATGTCCCTGTTACCTCATCCGATGTCCCTGTTACCTTATCCAATGTCCCTGTTACCTTATCCAATGTCCCTATTACCTTATCCGATGTCCCTGTTACCTTATCCAATGTCCCTATTACCTTATCCAATGTCCCTATTACCTTATCCAATGTCCCTATTACCTTATCCAATGTCCCTGTTACCTTATCCGATGTCCCTGTTACCTTATCCGATGTCCCTGTTTCCTTATGCAATGTCCCTGTTACCTCATCCAATGTCCCTATTTCCTCATTCGATGTCCCTGTTACCTTATCCGATGTCCCTGTTACCTTATCCAATGTCCCTATTTCCTCATCCGATGTCCCTGTTACCTCATTCGATGTCCCTGTTACCTTATCCAATGTCCCTATTTCCTCATCCGATGTCCCTGTTACCTTATCCAATGTCCCTATTTCCTTATCCAATGTCCCTGTTACCTCATCCAATGTCCCTATTTCCTCATTCGATGTCCCTGTTACCTTATCCGATGTCCCTGTTACCTTATCCAATGTCCCTATTTCCTTATCCAATGTCCCTGTTACCTCATCCAATGTCCCTATTTCCTCATTCGATGTCCCTGTTACCTTGTCTGATGTCCCTATTTCCTCATCTGATGTTCATATTACCTCATCCGATGTCCATATGTCCTTTTCTGATGTCCATATTTCCTTATCCAATGTCCATATTTCCTTATCCAATATCCATATTTCCTCATCTGATGTCCATATTACCTCATCCAATGTCAATATTTCCTTATCCGATGTCCCTGTTACCTTATTCGATGTCCCTGTTACCTTATCCAATGTCCCTATTTCCTTATCCAATGTCCCTGTTACCTCATCCAATGTCCCTATTTCCTCATTCGATGTCCCTGTTACCTTGTCTGATGTCCCTATTTCCTCATCTGATGTTCATATTACCTCATCCGATGTCCATATGTCCTTTTCTGATGTCCATATTTCCTTATCCAATGTCCATATTTCCTTATCCAATATCCATATTTCCTCATCTGATGTCCATATTACCTCATCCAATGTCCATATTTCCTTATCCAATGTCCATATTTCCTTATCCAATGTCCATATTTCCTTATCCGATGTCCCTGTTACCTTGTCCGATGTCCCTGTTACCTTATCCAATGTCCCTGTTACCTTATCTGATGTCCATATTACCTCATTCGATGTCCCAGTTACCTGATCCGATGTCCCTGTTACCTTATCCAATGTCCATATTACCTTATCCAATGTCCCTGTTACCTTATCCGATACCCCTGTTACCTTATCCGATGTTCCTGGTACCTTATCCGATGTCCCTGTTACCTTATCCAATGTCCATATTACCTCATGCAATGTCCCTATTTCCTCATCTGATGTCCATATTACCTTATCCAATGTCCATATTACCTCATCCAATGTCCCTTTTTCCTCATCTGATGTCCATATTACCATATCCAATGTCCCTATTACCTGATCAGATGTCCCTGTTACCTCATTTGATGTCCCTGTTACCTTATCCGATGTCCCTGTTACCTTATCCGATGTCCCTGTTACCTTATCCAATGTCCATATTACCTCATCCAATGTCCCTATTTCCTCATCTGATGTCCATATTACCTTATCCAATGTCCATATTACCTCATCCAATGTCCCTATTTCCTCATCTGATGTCCATATTACCTTATCCAATGTCCCTATTACCTTATCCGATGACCCTGTTACCTCATCCGATGTCCCTGTTACCTTATCCGGTGTCCCTGTTACCTTATCCGATGTCCCTGTTACCTTATCCGATGTCCCTGTTACCTTATCCAATGTCCATATTACCTGATCCAATGTCCGTATTTCCTCATCTGGTGTCCATATTACCTTATCCAATGACCCTGTTACCTTATCCAATGTCCCTGTTACCTTATCCAATGTCCCTGTTACCTCATTCGATGTCCCTGTTACCTTATCCAATGTCCCTGTTACCTCATTCGATGTCCCTGTTACCTTATCCAATGTCCCTGTTACCTTATCCAATGTCCCTGTTACCTTATCCGATGTCCCTGTTACCTTATCTAATGTCCATATTACCTCATCCAATGTCCCTATTTCCTCATCTAATGTCCATATTACCTGATCCAATGTCCATATTACCTGATCCAATGTCCATATTACCTCATCCAATGTCCCTATTTCCTCATCTGATGTCACTGTTATCTTATCCGATGACCCTGTTACCTCATTCGATGTCCCTGTTACCTCATTCGATGTCCCTGTTACCTCATCCGATGTCCCTGTTACCTTATCCGATGTCCCTGTTACCTTATCCAATGTCCCTGTTACCTTATCCAATGTCCCTGTTACCTTATCCGATGTCCCTGTTACCTTATCCGATGTCCCTATTTCCTTATCCAATGTCCCTCTTTCCTCATTCGATGTCCCTGTTATCTTATCCGATGACCCTGTTACCTCATTGGATGTCCCTGTTACCTTATCCAATGTCCTTGTTATTTTATATCCACCTTGTCAATGTCCCTGTTACCTCATTCGATGTCCCTGTTACCTCATCCGATGTCCCTGTTACCTCATTCGAATGTCCCTGTTACCTTTATCCAATGTCCCTGTTACCTTATCCGATGTCCCTGTTGTCCTTTTTTATCTAATGTCCATATTACCTCATCCAATGTCCCTATTTCCTCATCTAATGTCCATATTACCTGATCCAATGTCCATATTACCTGATCCAATGTCCATATTACCTCATCCAATGTCCCTATTTCCTCATCTGATGTCCCTGTTATCTTATCCGATGAGCCTGTTACCTCATTCGATGTCCCTGTTACCTCATTCGATGTCCCTGTTACCTCATCCGATGTCCCTGTTACCTTATCCGATGTCCCTGTTACCTTATCCAATGTCCCTGTTACCTTATCCAATGTCCTTATTTCCTTATCCAATGTCCATATTACCTTATCCAATGTCCCTGTTACCTTATCCAATGTCCCTATTTCCTCATTTGATGTCCCTGTTACCTTATCCAATGTCCCTGTTACCTTATCCGATGTCCCTGTTACCTTATCCAATGTCCCTGTTACCTTATCCAATGTCCCTGTTACCTTATCCAATGTCCCTGTTACCTTATCCAATGTCCCTGTTACCTTATCCAATGTCCCTGTTACCTTATCCGATGTCCCTGTTACCTTATCCGATGTCCCTGTTACCTTATCCAATGTCCCTATTTCCTTATCCAATGTCCCTATTACCTTATCCAATGTCCCTGTTACCTTATCCAATGTCCCTATTTCCTCATTTGATGTCCCTGTTACCTTATCCAATGTCCCTGTTACCTTATCCGATGTCCCTGTTACCTTATCCGATGTCCCTGTTACCTTATCCAATGTCCCTGTTACCTTATCCAATGTTACCTTATCCGATGTCCCTGTTACCTTATCCAATGTCCCTGTTACCTTATCCAATGTCCCTGTTACCTTATCCAATGTCCCTATTACCTTATCCAATGTCCCTGTTACCTTATCCGATGTCCCTGTTACCTTATCCAATGTCACTATTTCCTTATCCAATGTCCCTGTTACCTTATCCAATGTCCCTATTTCCTCATTTGATGTCCCTGTTACCTTATCCAATGTCCCTGTTACCTTATCCGATGTCCCTGTTACCTTATCCGATGTCCCTGTTACCTTATCCAATGTCCCTGTTACCTTATCCGATGTCCCTATTTCCTTATCCAATGTCCCTGTTACCTCATCCAATGTCCCTCTTTCCTCATTCGATGTCCCTGTTACCTTGTCTGATGTCCCTATTTCCTCATCTGATGTTCATATTACCTCATCCGATGTCCATATGTCCTTTTCTGATGTCCATATTTCCTTATCCAATGTCCATGTTTCCTTATCCAATATCCATATTTCCTCATCTGATGTCCATATTACCTCATCCGATGTCCATATTTCCTTATCCAATGTCCATATTTCCTTATCCGATACTTGTATTTCCTTATTCTACAGGGAATGCCTACCCATGACGCTGCTGGGAAGGAACTAGCTAAATCAGCTGTGAAGAAGCTCCAGAAGCTGTATGACGCTCAGGAAAAGAAGTACAATGAACATCTGAAGAACATGGAGAAAGGTGGCGATGCAGATCAGGGGGCTGCCGCCAACCCTTGATACCAACTGGACCCACAATATCACCAGGGTCGTACCACATTGATGTTACGTCTGCTTATACATGTTTGCAGGTGGATTAATGTCTGTATGAAGATGTTTAAGTCGTTCAGTAATGCTCATCATCATCATCATCATCAACATCAGCTTGCACAGTAATTTGCTTCCAAACTTTTATATTGTATCAGGGATTGAGTTTCTCTGTATCTTCAAACATACTAAGATTTCATCAACAGATCCAAAGCGTTCTATGTCAATATTGTCAGTCTGTAGATTTACGTAGTGTCAGTGTTGTAGGTGTTTGAATGGAATTTAGTCAGTGTAGTAATTTATTCAATGGCTGCACACCACTTAATGCTTCCGTTCATTGATTCACTGGGAATAGATGTCAGTTTAATGTTGAATACATTATGTTATACCTCAATCCTGGTACAGCAATACCCAGGATCCATCACTAACATTGGTATATTTAGGTATTGCCATCACCATCTCTTGCTCATAATTCATACAGAATTTCTCTGGCACAAGAATATACCACAATGTCTCTTCTGAATGAGCTCAAGATTCAGATATTAAGGTGAGGTGAGGTGAAATTGGGTCAAACGTCATGCTTGAGAATATTTCGCTCATATGACGACGTGCATGCGTGTGTGTGTGTATGGGTATGTGCGGATGCTTGTACTAGCCCAGACTTAAGCTGGTTTTATAGTGCTAGCCCACTGAGATACCACGCTGCAGTGAAGCATGAATACCCCACTCAGACACGTTATACTGACTCCAAGCCGACCAGTCCTTGTTGTACCCATTAATGCCGAGCGACAGGCAGGGACCAACAAGTACCATATTTTAACATCTTTTGGTATGACGCGGTCGGGGATCGAACCTTCCTCTCTCCGGGCGGACGCTCTAACCACTACACCACGGAGGCGGTCTTCAGATATTAAGAGGCAAATGTTGCACCCTTTATGCAATGTGTGAAATAGCTGCCTTCCTGATAGACCACCCATACAAAATTTCAATCAGGCTAATATTTGGAAATGTCACTGGTTACTGCAAATTAATAGTGATATTTTTTTTAATTTTTAGACACACACCTGTTTGAACAAATTGGAAATTTCGTTACATAAATAAATAAATAAATAAATAAATAAATAAATAAATAAATAAATAAATAAATAAATACACTGTTCCAAAGTAAGGTTTTCAAGATTACGACCCCTTCATAATATTTGCCTCATGATTTCAGTTTGTGTTTACTATTAAGGGAGGAATCATTATTTGCTTATAAATCAGGATTTTTAAAAGTAGTTCATTAATGCAGTGTATATTTCCATTGAATTCTTAGGGTTCAATACATTAATTCAAATCAGTTACGTCTCATATATTTTGTCAGTCCTGTTATCGGTTATCGACAAGACCCTATACAAAGGGATCATATCAGTTGTCCTATGTTTAACATTAACATTATAACACCATGTTGGCATGGAAGCAGAAATTTTTAATTCCAAATTGGGAATATTCTCAGACATTAGCTACTGACCTCCAAGCAGGTCTAGATGATTCCTAGACATGTGTCTGTTTCCCTACTAGTGACAAGGCGTAGTCTCCAAATGCCTACAGTGACAAATGCCTACAGTGTAGAATAAACAAAGTAATGACAATAGGTAGTACTACATCAAACAGTTCAAATTTTGCTAGTCTTCAATATGCAGGTAATGCTAGTCAAACTGGCCTAGGTTTGCAGGCAATTTTCTTGTCAAAGTCCCATACAACTTGTGCATGTACCCTTGCGACATGTCCAGTGACCATATTGGTAACAGTTGCGTTTGGTCCACAGACGTCATCCAAAATACTAGACATCACAGTAGGACAGTTTCAATTTTTTCACATTTGCATAATTCTTGCTAAGGTTGACACTGCTGATAAGGAATGGTTTTAATATCATATATGCAAATACAAGTCTTCATACATTTTAGCCAGCTTATATACCTTTCATGGTATCAGTTTTTATCTATGTTTTGTCAATGAAATAAGTTCTCAATGATTAGCTATTTGCTCAACTTCCATTTTGTGATGACCAACTGTCCTTACTCCTAGATAGTACTCTGAGGGATATTGAAATTCTTCCATCACCTCATATAGATGTTATTTGTATTAATAAAACCACTTTGTATCTTTAAAAAGATGCCACATCAGAACCACTTTGAAATCCCAAGTGAATTTGTCACCCTCCATCAATTATGTCAGTGCAAGATCACAATGAATGAATTATTGGATTTTCATCAACATTAATGAAAAATAGATGAGATAAAAATATTTATCATTTTACGTTTATTTCTTAAACATACTGATCAAAACATCCCTGTACCTCAACTGTGAATTTACATGAAATATACCTCTACAGCATGGCTTGGATATTTTCGGTTTTCTGTGTCTCACTTAGATAAACAACAATCTAGTAAGTAATAACACTCTCTTAGGCCAGACCAAATTTAATTCTTGTTTTACGGATTTTTGTCCTCAGAAAACTATAAGGCAGGAAGGAAAAAAAATTAAAATTAAATCACCAGTCAAAGTAATATTCCTTCTAAATACTCAAAGTATTTTACTTTTGGCAATTTATCAAGTGTATATGGGGAAAAAAACAATCTAAAAAATTTTTCTTGTAAGTTTACATGTTTGGCCAATAAAATCATTAGGATTTTATTTTTAGAGCGGGGAAAATTAATTATTTTTTTCTTCTTCTTGAAAAAATACGACAGGCGGGTCCGTAAAACAAGAAAAAAAATTAGTCTGGCTTTAAAAATATTTGTAAATATTCAATTCCAGTGACCATGAACAATGAGCTGAATTCATGAAGGGATACAATTTGATTCACCAAATATGCAAAAATGAATCAGGAACATTCATGAACAGGAAATCAGCAACAGAAAAGTATATATGGGATATTTCATCGAGAAACAAAAGCAGAGAACATATCAATGTTCGCGTGTTGATACTTTGGGACAGTCACATGTAACAGGGAATTTTGATAGTGAGACAGACAGGTATGAAAATCTCATAATTTATTTATTTCCATGTATGCTATTTATGTCGTACATCACCTGTAATGATGCTATATACAGAGCTCCAGATATACACAAAATATATCACCATGACCGGTTAGTTCTGTGTTGTTTGCATTCAAATATGCATGAATTATTATTTTTGAAAATTCCAATAAATCACTGTTAATTGTCCAATGTAGACATTTTAGTTTTAATACCTGAAAACTTTATTGATCTGTATTCACTGATCAAATACAGGCATCACCAATATGTAAACTCTACTGCAGTGAATGGTGAGCTCTAATGCTATATATCCGTTATTACAACTGACACTTTTATCCCTGTTGGGAGCTTAGGGAACATGTTATGTACGGCAGCATGATGGGCAGAAAATTTGAAGTTTGAACTAAAATGTTTGGACAGAAGGATTGTCCACACAAATGTATTGTCTATTCGTTGTTTATTCATTGTACTGATTTGTCGTACAGTTCACCAGACATGTTATTAGGTTTCAGTTTGTGTACATGCGAACAGTTCGTGAAAACACACCTCACAACAACTTACTTCGCGGAAAGCTTGAGCATACAAAAAGCATCCGTTTTTGCCACGTGCGGGGTTTGAAGTGAAATTGTAGTTAGTTCGTTTCGATACGTTGATAAGGCAGCACGTCTTGAGATTGTCAGTTAGTTGTGCTCATTGGGGTGTTAGATTGTTTGACAGAAGTTTAGTGAAATAGAAAGTTAGGAATGTAAGATATTGTAAATGTAATAATAGGTAAATTAAAGCAAATATTAGATTCTGATTTAGTGGTTTCGTTTGATATCACGACTAGAACAGTTCCTGCAGACCAATGATATTTTTAAAAATGCCTTATTTGACATGACAAGGAAATTATATTCAACTGTAAGCTGTCAGATACCTCAAGTTCAAACATTTATCTGTAGCCCTGTATATACCATGATGTGGAGAGTCTGAACACTTCACAGTTTGTCATCTACGCCATCTACACACAAAGTGGACGCAACTGAAAATAAACAAATCACAGAACATGTGTGTCATTGATTTCTGCTATTTATGTAAGCCAGAAACTTGTGTAAATGAGTGAGTGAATGATGTTTGAAGGCAATCAGAAATAGTCCATCGGTTTCATGACGCAAATTGTCTTTACTTGTGAAAACCAGTGGTTGATAGTATGATCCCTGATTCACAATCACGCTACAATCTTAAGTCTGTAATAACTATAGAATTACGACTGTTCATAATGTTATGAACGCTTTGTGAGTGGGTGAGTGAGTGAGTGAGTTTTATGCTGCTTTCAGCAATATTCCAGCAATGTCATGACAAGGACACCAGAAATGGGCTTCCATATTGTGGGGAATCGAACCCAGGTCTTCTGCTTGACAAACAAATGCTTTAACCACTAGGCTACCCCACCTGCCCCCAACAAGTGAACAACTGTTAATGTCTAAAGTGTCCTTGCTGTACCTCTGATATGATCATGAGTGAGTGAGTTTAGTTTTACGCAGCACTCAGCAATATTCCAGCTATATGGCGCCGGTCTGTAAATAATCGAGTCTGGACCAGACAATCCAGTGATCAACAGTATGAGTACGGATCTACTTAATTGGGATACGATGACATGTGTCAACCAAGTCAGTGAGCCTGACCACCCGATCCCGTTAGTTGCCTCTTACCACAAGCATGGGTTACTGAAGGTTCATTCTAACCCGGACCTTCACGGGTCAAACGCTTTGTGGAAAGGGAACCTGATCTCATAGGTGTCATCTTATGGTATGGTGACGTGCACAGGGTGAAAATGGGTTGTAATGACGCAATTGGGACTTTTCCCCTTTTTTATGGAAGCACCAACGAGGTGAAATTGGGTTTTACGTCGTGCTTGAGAATATTTCGCTCATACGACGACGTGCATGCGTGTGTATGTGTATGTGTATGTGCGGCTGCTTGTACTAGCCCAGACTGAAGCTGGTTTTTTAGTGCTAGCCCACTGAGATACCATGCCGCAGTGAAGCATGAATACCCCACTCAGACACATTATACTGACTCCGACTGACCAGTCCTTGTTGTACCCATTAATGCCGAGCGCCAGGCAGGGACCAACAAGTACTATATTTTAACGTCTTTTGGTATGACGCGGTCGGGGATCGAACCCGCGACCTTCCGCTCTCCGGGCGGACGCTCTAACCACTACACCACGGAGGCGGTCGGAAGCACCAATGAAGATCAATATCAGTTTTGTAGGACCAGCACACTGAAATACCAGGCAGCAGTTAAATGTGAATGCCTATACTCAGACACCGTATACAGACTCTGCACTGACCTAACACTAGCCAGGGTAACCACAAGTACCATCTTTATTGTCTGGAATCAATCAGGGACATCCCACACCAGCTAGATGCCCTATCGACTAAACTATGGAGATGGTCCCATTTCAGGTGAGTGAGTGAATTTAGATTTACACCACACTCAGCAATATTCCGGCAGTCTGTAAATAATCGAGTCTGGACCATACAGTCCAGTGATCAACAGCATTAACATCGATCGGCGCAATTGGGAACCAATGACATGTGTCAACCAAGTCAGCGAGCCTGACCACCGATCT